AAACTGCTAGCCATTGGCTGCTAACAGCTGAGAACTGCTAGCTAACTGGCAAGCACAAAAACAGTCAACAATTTAGGGAGTACAGACCAGTAAAAATCGGCCAATCACTCTCTAGTGGCGAAAGTAAGAACTGCCGAAAATGCACAGTCAAAGAGGAGAACAATTATTCTGTCAAGGAAAAGTTTTTAAGACAAAAGAAACGTGACGCAGTGTGTACATGATAACACAGTACAGGAAATGAAGAAATTGATTAAAATGCTGGAAATGAATGCTGGAATTAAACAATTAACTATGCAAATTAGCAAAAGCCCATAGGGCGGCGCACAATTGTCCCAGCGTCGTCCGGGTTTGGCTGGTGTAGGCCGTCATTGTAAATAAGAATGTGTTCTTAACTGACTTGCCTAGTTAAATAAAGGTAAAATAAAAAAATTTAATACAAATAAAAAGCTGTGTGCATTAAGGAAATAGAAGCCTGACTCAAATAAAAGCCTGTCTAATAAGTGCCTGTTGTGTTCAGTGATTTAAGGTATGTAAAGAATATACAATACAAATAAAATAATATAAGCTATACGAAAATTAGCAGTCAGGATGAATTATCACTGTTATGGCATGGTGTCTCACCCTCACAGATGATTGAATGGGATGTTAAATGGCATGGTGTCTCACCCTCACAGATGATTGAATGGGATGTTAAATGGCATGGTGTCTCAACCTTTACAGATGATTGAATGGGATGTTAAATGGCATGGTGTCTCAACCTTTACAGATGATTGAATGGGATGTTAAATGGCATGGTGTCTCACCCTCATAGATGATTGACTGGGATGTTAAATGGCATGGTGTCTCACCCTCACAGATGATTGACTGGGATGTTAAATGGCATGGTGTCTCAACCTTTACAGATGATTGAATGGGATGTTAAATGGCATGGTGTCTCACCCTCACAGATGATTGACTGGGATGTTAAATGGCATGGTGTCTCAACCTTTACAGATGATTGAATGGGATGTTAAATGGCATGGTGTCTCAACCTTTACAGATGATTGAATGGGATGTTAAATGGCATGATGTCTCACCCTCACAGATGATTGAATGGGATGTTAAATGGCATGGTGTCTCACCTTCAGAGATGATTGAATGGGATGTTGGCATGGTGTCTCACCTTCACAGATGCGACTGTCTATGTTGAGGTAGTAGCCAGGAGGACAGTCACACGAGAAGCTGCCAAACGTGTTGACACAGTTTCCTCCCTGACACAGGCCTGGCAGCTCCAGACACTCGTCTATGTCTGGAGGAGAAGACGCACAACAAGATTCCAGAATGATCTCAAACATCCCAACGATCCCAAATGATCCCAAAACGTCCCAAGATTCCAGAAACATCCCAATGATCCCAATTGTCCAAAACATCCCTAGATTCCAGAAAAATCCCAATGACCCCCAAACAACCCAAGATTCCAGAAACATCCCAATGATCCCAAACATCTCAAACATTCCAAGATTCCAGAAACATCCCAAAAATCCTAGCTTGACTTTTGCGCAAGTCATGTGTCAGTGTCAATGGAAGATCTGTGCAAAAAAGGCCAGTCTGTTATACACGTAAGTTAAGATTTGAGCCTTACAGATGGTTTCAACAAAGGTTAAGTTACAGACTCTTATCAATGGCATTTGAATCAAAGGTTTTGGTTTTCTCTACATCAAAATAAGCTATAACAATCGAAACTGTATAAAAAATTACAAATGCTTCCATTTAGATGTATATTAAAAGAGCATGTATTATTAATTGTTCTACTGCATCTATGCAGTACAGTATACAAGGCATAGTTAAAGTAGTTTACCAGAGATCTACTTTAGTAAGCGGATGGTTACCTTCTAGTATGATGGTGACTGGGTTGGGCCTGAAACCCTCTCCTCCTGGGCAGAGTGTATTATAGTCCGCTGAAAAACACACTTTATTTCAGTACACTCATATGGGTAATACACTTCAAGTATACTTTTCAATTTTGTCGAGTAACAAAGGCTCCGTTGACACAGGCAGCCCAATTCCGATCTTTTGCCCAATTATTGGCAAAAGATCTGATCTGATTGGTCAAAAGACCAATTATTGGCAACAGATCAGAATTGGGCTGCCTGTATAAACACAGCCAAATGGTTTGAATGTAACAGGACCAATCATAGAAAAAGTAGTTTGTTCACAGTGTTACAAACGTGCCTCAACCTAATCATAGAACTGACTGAATTCAGAAACCCTAGTGAGGAGGTGTAGAACTGACTGAATTCAGAAACCCTAGTGAGGAGGTGTAGAACTGACTGAATTCAGAAACCCTCGTGAGGAGGTGTAGAACTGAATGAATTCAGAAACCCTAGTGAGGAGGTGTAGAACTGACTGAATTCAGAAACCCTAGTGAGGAGTGTAGAACTGACTGAATTCAGAAACCCTCGTGAGGAGTGTAGAACTGACTGAATTCAGAAACCCTAGTGAGGAGTGTAGAACTGAATGAATTCAGAAACCCTAGTGAGGAGTGTAGAACTGACTGAATTCAGAAACCCTAGTGAGGAGTGTAGAACTGACTGAATTCAGAAACCCTAGTGAGGAGTGTAGAACTGACTGAATTCAGAAACCCTAGTGAGGAGTGTAGAACTGAATGAATTCAGAAACCCTAGTGAGGAGTGTAGAACTGACTGATTCAGAAACCCTAGCGAGGAGTGTAGAACTGACTGAATTCAGAAACCCTAGTGAGGAGTGTAGAACTGACTGAATTCAGAAACCCTAGTGAGGAGTGTAGAACTGACTGAATTCAGAAACCCTAGTGAGGAGGTGTAGAACTGACTGAATTCAGAAACCCTAGTGAGGAGGTGTAGAACTGACTGAATTCAGAAACCCTCGTGAGGAGGTGTAGAACTGAATGAATTCAGAAACCCTAGTGAGGAGGTGTAGAACTGACTGAATTCAGAAACCCTAGCGAGGAGTGTAGAACTGACTGAATTCAGAAACCCTAGCGAGGAGGTGTAGAACTGACTGAATTCAGAAACCCTAGCGAGGAGTGTAGAACTGACTGAATTCAGAAACCCTAGCGAGGAGTGTAGAACTGACTGAATTCAGAAACCCTAGTGAGGAGTGTAGAACTGACTGAATTCAGAAACCCTAGCGAGGAGGTGTAGAACTGACTGAATTCAGAAACCCTAGTGAGGAGTGTAGAACTGACTGAATTCAGAAACCCTAGTGAGGAGGTGTAGAACTGACTGAATTCAGAAACCCTAGTGAGGAGTGTAGAACTGACTGAATTCAGAAACCCTAGTGAGGAGTGTAGAACTGACTGAATTCAGAAACCCTAGTGAGGAGTGTAGAACTGACTGAATTCAGAAACCCTCGTGAGGAGGTGTAGAACTGAATGAATTCAGAAACCCTAGCGAGGAGGTGTAGAACTGAATGAATTCAGAAACCCTAGCGAGGAGGTGTAGAACTGAAGGAATTCAGAAACGCTAGCGAGGAGGTGTAGAACTGAATGAATTCAGAAACCCTAGTGAGGAGGTGTAGAACTGAATGAATTCAGAAACCCTAGTGAGGAGGTGTAGAACTGAATGAATTCAGAAACCCTAGCGAGGAGGTGTAGAACTGAATGAATTCAGAAACCCTAGCGAGGAGGTGTAGAACTGAATGAATTCAGAAACCCTAGCGAGGAGGTGTAGAACTGAATGAATTCAGAAACCCTAGCGAGGAGGTGTAGAACTGAATGAATTCAGAAACCCTAGCGAGGAGGTGTTAGAACTGAATGAATTCAGAAACCCTAGCGAGGAGGTGTAGAACTGAATGAATTCAGAAACCCTAGCGAGGAGGTGTAGAACTGACTTAATTCAGAAACCCTAGCGAGGAGGTGTAGAACTGAATGAATTCAGAAACCCTAGCGAGGAGGTGTAGAACTGAATGAATTCAGAAACCCTAGCGAGGAGGTGTAGAACTGAATGAATTCAGAAACCCTAGTGAGGAGGTGTAGAACTGAATGAATTCAGAAACCCTAGTGAGGAGGTGTAGCTAAATCACACTAACCTGGTGTGTTCAAGCATAAAATATAATATTGTAAATCTAAATCTAAAGTCATACTTTGTTAACCTACTCAGGCCAACTAAGGCACACCTAAGGGCTCTGTCCCGTAACACTGTTGTTAGTATGTATCGCGATAAGAGCGTGAGCCTGTACATAAAGGAATGTACATTATTTTTTAGCCCGGCACCGGTATTCTCAAGTTTAGGATGTGCATTTCACCTTCCTCTTCTACATTGAGCCTCTACACATGCGGTGATACAGGAAGCTGAATAAACAATCAAAATAGTCCAAAACAGAGTGTGTCTTACAGGAGTTGGGAGCAGAGCAGAGTTCACAGGGGCCTCCCCAGGCACGTCCCAGGGAGCAGCAGCAGGAGGAGCGACTGACTCCCACCCCCACCTCCACGCTGCAGGACAGCCCGTCGCCCCTGGGTCCATGCTCCAGGAAACAGTTCCCCACACGTGTGTCTGGTACACAGAGAGGAGGAGAACCAACAGGGTTGTGTTCATTAAGGCACGCAACTGAAAAACGTTTAAACCATTTTTGGAACAGAAAATAGAAATGAGCGTTTCTTATGTGTTTAATGTTTTTTTTTTCTCTCCATTTGGCGCCTAATACATGAACCAAAGCAGTTATTACAGTTGACATTGGTCAGACCACATGGTTTCTTTAGGGCAGCGTTTCCCAACTCCAGTCCTCAATTCCAGCACACGTGTTTGTTGTAGCCCTGGACAAAAACACCTGATTCAACTTGTCAACTAATCATCAAGCCCTCAATGAGTTGAATCAGGTGAATTTATCTGGGCAACAACAAAAACGTGTGCTGTTCAGTGGTTACTCGAGGACCGGAGTTGGGAAACACTGCATTTCGGGTAAGCAATTGAGAATGTTTTAAAACGTTTTGCCATGAAAAACAAAAATGAGCGCGAGGACCGGAGATGAGCGTGTATTATTGGATCAGCTGTGTTTTTCTCTCAGTTTAGTGTCTAATGTATGAAAAATGTATGCACTCACTAACTGTAAGTCGCTCTGGATAAGAGCGTCTGCTAAATGACTAAAATGTAAATGTAATGAACGTGACCTAAAGGGGTTATGACAGTTGATATTGGTGTACACTAACAGAAACACACAACATGTAGGAGTTATCATTGCTTATGAACCACTTATGCGTGATGCATTATAACACATTGATTTGTGCAATAATTTGTGAAGCATTATACACTGTAGTACATTTATAGTCATTTATGTAATTATATGCTGCTATGAACAGCTATTCACTGTAACTATAGGCTGCTTTGAACAGCTATTCACTGTAATTATAGGCTGCTATGAACAGCTATTCACTGCTACGAATGCTTATGGAGTTGCAAGTATTGTAATGCAAACCTATATTAACCTATAGCAGGCGCTATAGATGCACAGGTGTTTAACTAGATATTCAAGTTGACCTGTAATAACCTACCTACACACCCCACCCCAGTAGGGTTGAGTTCAAAGTCTGGAGGACAGTTACACTCGTAGGAACCGTCGACGTTCACACACAGCCCGTTCACACAGTTGATGGGGTCCAGGCACTCGTCCACGTCTGGTCGACACATACACACACACACACACACACACACACACACACACACACACACACACACACACACACACACACACACACACACACACACACACACACACACACACACACACACACACACACACACACACACACACACAAACTTTTCACTTTTCAAACATGGAAAATAAGAAATATAAATATGATATAAATATAATATGAAATAGGATACACTACGATCACCAATGATCATACATTATTTCTACAGCAGCTTCCATGAGACATGCACTTTGACACCACTAAAAATCTCCCCATCACAATGTTGGAAAGCTTTGGAAATATGGAAACCATGAATCATGGTGGGTGGTGATGGTATGTATTCAATCAGTGACCCCAGAGATCCTACACTGTAAACCTCACCATCAAACACATTCTTCTACCTGTTTAAACCTTTAACGCCCATCCACGTCAGAGTGCACTGACACCCCATAAAGGAGAACATCCAGGTTAAAGGTAATTTCACCTCATCAGAGACTTTGGTGGAGCACTACATTGGGAATAGGGTGCCATTTGGGACGCTATCTTAGAGATGACATCAGAGTTAGTATCCTCAATCACCTTACCTGGTCACACAGATAGGTAAACAGAGAGATGGACAGAGGGCTAGACAGGAAGATAGATGGAAGGATGGACAGACAGGAAGGTAGACAGACAGAAAGACAGACTGACTGACTGACTGACTGATTGACAGACTGACTGACTGACTGATTGAATGACTAAAACAGTGGTAACGTGGGTGAGATAGATCGGTAGACTGAAGGATAGACAGACGGACAGCAGGCCAACCAACCATCTAGCCAGAGCCAGCCAGCCAGCCAGAGCCAGAGTCAGCCAACCAGCCAGCCAGAGCCAGCCAGCCAGAGCCAGCCAGCCAGAGTCAGCCAACCAGCCAGCCAGCCTGAGCCAGCCAGCCAGCCAGCCAGCCAGCCAGCCAGCCAGAGCCAACCAGCCAGAGCCAGCCAGCCAGAGTCAGCTAACCAGCCAGCCAGCCTGAGCCAGCCAGCCAGCCAGCCAGCCAGCCAGCCAGAGCCAACCAGCCAGAGCCAGCCAGCCAGAGTCAGCTAACCAGCCAGCCAGCCTGAGCCAGCCAGCCAGCCTGCCAGCCAGCCAGCCAGAGCCAACCAGCCAGAGCCAGCAAGCCAGCCAGCCAGCCAGAGCCAGCCAATTAGCCAGTCAAAGCCAGCCAGCCAGAGCCTCCCAGCCAGAGCCAGCCACCCAGAGCCAGCCAACCAGCCAGAGCCAGCCAGCCAGACGGTCAGACAGACGGTCATGTCATACCTGAACAGTTGCCTCCGGAGCGGTCCAGCTCATAGCCGTCGTTACAGATACAGCGGAACATGCCGGGGATGTTCTTACACGTGCCAAACACACAGATATTCTGGAAGGTGCACTCATCAATATCTGCAGAGGATCAGCAAGAGACACATTGACTTTTTTTCCTTATTCATGGTAATAATCTAAATGTATGTTTGCTGATATTCATCTTTTGCCTGTCCAAAGCGCACACAGTGTGTTGCGGATGTACAGTTTGTGTTCCCAATGACGCCCTCAGGGGAAATGTAGTATTGTATTCGTATTGTTATGTATTTGCCACAAACCTTCTTGTACAGGTTTGAATGAATAGAAACATATATTGCATCAATAATGGCTCATCAATGGGGTGGCATTGGGTATTAGGTTGGTGCTCTACACGATGTAGGGTAAAGTCACCACTTGACGCTGATCTTGGATAAGTTTAGCATTTTCCCCACTAATGGTTAAGGTTAGGATTTGGGGAGTGGAAGCTGATCCTAGACCTGTTCCTAGGGGAAACTTCACCCCGGAGCTGCTATATACTCTGTGAATGGACTGTGAGATAGATAGGGGACAGGGCCATTGACTCACCTTGGCAGGTGCGGCTGTCCGGAGCGGGGGTGAAGCCCATCTCACACTCACAGCGGTAACCCCCCAGGGTGTTGAGACACTGGCCGTTCTCACATAGGTTCACGTTCTCTGCACACTCATCCTCGTCTGTCACCACATAGGGATCAAACACGGTTAACATCAGATCTTCAAGACAATTCAGTGATGGAGAAGGACATTGAATTGTTATATAGGCCAATGCCCATACATCCATGGTTGAGATGGGTTAGAGGGTTGGAGAGGGTTGATGATCCCTGGGTCAGAGGGTCAGAGGGTTAGAACGTGTTGATGATCCCTGGGTCAGAGGGTCAGAGGGTTGGAGGGTCGGAGGGTTGGAGGGTTAGATGGTCAGAGGGTTAGAACGTGTTGATAATCCCTTGGTCAGAGGGTCAGAGGGTTGGAGGGCTGGAGGGTTAGATGGTCAGAGGGTTAGAACGTGTTGATAATCCCTTGGTCAGAGGGTCAGAGGGTTGGAGGGTCGGAGGGTTGGAGGGTTAGATGGTCAGAGGGTTAGAACGTGTTGATGATCCCTGGGTCAGAGGGTTGGAGGGTTGGAGGGTCGGAGGGTTGGAGGGTTAGATGGTCAGAGGGTTAGAACGTGTTGATAATCCCTTGGTCAGAGGGTCAGAGGGTTGGAGGGTCGGAGGGTTGGAGGGTTAGATGGTCAGAGGGTTAGAACGTGTTGATGATCCCTGGGTCAGAGGGTTGGAGGGTCGGAGGGAATGTGTTGCTACTAAATTGCTATACGCAAACATCTATTTATATACAAATAAAGCATTTAAGACAATTCAATTAACTGAACCTGAAAATATATGGACCTAGCACTGGTTATGACATGAACACAGTACACAACAGTACCTAACACTGGTTATGACATGAACACAGTACATAACAGTACCTAACACTGGTTATGACTTGAACACAGTACACAACAGTACCTAACACTGGTTATGACTTGAACACAGTACACAACAGTACCTAACACTGGTTATGACTTGAACACAGTACACAACAGTACCTAAACCTGGTTTATGACTTGAACACAGTACACAACAGTACCTAACACTGGTTATGACTTGAACACAGTACAACAACAGTACCTAACACTGGTTATGACATGAACACAGTACATAACAGTACCTAACACTGGTTATGACTTGAACACAGTACCAACAGTACCTAACACTGGTTATGACTTGAACACAGTACACAACAGTAACTAACCTGGTTATGACTTGAACACAGTACACAACAGTACCTAACACTGGTTATGACTTGAACACAGTACACAACAGTACCTAACACTGGTTATGACTTGAACACAGTACACAACAGTACCTAACACTGGTTATGACTTGAACACAGTACACAACAGTACCTAACACTGGTTATGACTTGAACACAGTACACAACAGTACCTAACACTGGTTATGACTTGAACAAAGTACACAACAGTACCTAACACTGGTTATGACTTGAACACAGTACACAACAGTACCTAACACTGGTTATGACTTGAACACAGTACACAACAGTACCTAACACTGGTTATGACTTGAACACAGTACACAACAGTACCTAACACTGGTTATGACTTGAACACAGTACACAACAGTACCTAACACTGGTTATGACTTGAAACACAGTACACAACAGTACCTAACACTGGTTATGACTTGAACACAGTACATAACAGTACCTAACACTGGTTATGACTTGAACACAGTACATAACGTACCTAACACTGGTTATGACTTGAACACAGTACACAACAGTACCTAACACTGGTTATGACTTGAACACAGTACATAACAGTACCTAACACTGGTTATGACTTGAACACAGTACACAACAGTACCTAACACTGGTTATGACTTGAACACAGTACATAACAGTACCTAACACTGGTTATGACTTGAACACAGTACATAACAGTACCTAACACTGGTTATGACATGAACACCAACAGTAGCATGGACAATATCAACAAGCCAACTCTCTGCAGCTGTTTAACAGTTACCATGGTAATTACACTGAGTATACAAAACATTAAGAACACCTGCTCTTTCCATGACATAGACTGACCAGGTGAATCCAGGTGAAAAACATGATCCCTTATTGATGTCACTTGTTAAATCCACTTCAATCAGTGTAGCTGAAGGGCAGACAAATTATTGAAGTGCTTTTGAACAGGGTATGGTAGTAGGTGCCAGGCACACCTGTTAGTGTCTAGAACCGCAAAGCTGCTGGGGTTTTCACGCTCAACAGTTTCCTGTGTGTATCAAGAATGGTCCACCCACCCAAAGGACATCTAGTCAACTTGATATTTGGAAGGTGGGGGGCGCAACTCAATATTTGGAAGGTGTTCCTAATGTTCGGTATACTCAGTGTAGACAGAGTGTGTGTGTGTGTGTGTGTTACCTGAACAGGTGAAGCCATCTCCAGTGTAGCCCTGAGCGCAGGCACAGCGGTAGGAGCCGGGTGTGTTCAGACACTTGGCGTTGGCACTGCAGTGGCTTGTCCCATTGGTGCACTCATCCATATCTACAATACACACACAATCACCACTGGGCTAGGTCTCCACCCTAGTTCAAATCGGTCCATTCAGAAAATGTCTAGCAATCAATTTCCTTATAGAAAGAATATTCTTATTTTGCTATATTTTCGATACATGAGTTGAATACTAGCTAATACAAATACACATTCCAGAATGGATTGTATCAGAGTCTTGAGTAAGGCACCAAACTGCACCACGGCTGACTGCAACATGGCTGACTGCACCACGGCTGACTGCAACATGGCTGACTGCACCACGGCTGACTGCACCATGGCTGACTGCAACATGGCTGACTGCAACATGGCTGACTGCATCATGGCTGACTGCACCATGGCTGACTGGAACATAGCTGACTGCACCATGGCTGACTGAAACATGGCTGACTGAAACATAGCTAACTGGAACATAGCTGACTGCAACATAGCTGACTGCACCCCGGCTGACTGCAACATAGCTGACTGATACATTGCTGACTGTAACATAGCTGACTGCACCATGGCTGACTGCACCCCGGCTGACTGATCCATGGCTGACTGCAACATAGCTGACTGCACCACGGCTGACTGCAACATAACTGACTGCACCACGGCTGACTGCAACATGGCTGACTGATCCATGGCTGACTGCAACATGGCTGACTGCAACATGGCTGACTGCAACATAGCTGTGTGTGTGTGTGTGTCTCGGGGAGTGGGGTAAAAGCAAAAAGTAATTTCCCTGGACTGCAATGAAAATGAATGATAAAGTAGTCTTCTTCTTATGAAATGGGATTGAATCCAATCCTTGCACTCAACATTGAGCAGGATGATTGCTATGTTCATCTGACCGTTTAACCCTTTTTTAAACCTCTTTTCTAGCTGGATTCACAGTTCAAAAGGAATGCTGCCTGTTTGAACTAGTCACTCATTGTCTCACGTCAGATGGAGTCACTCCTACGATCTGTCTTGTAGGACACGAAACTCATCTCTAAAAATCTAGATTTTGCCCATCCGCCTAACACTAGTTCCTAATTCTGAAAATCCCTCTGCTCTCGTTAGCTATGACGCACTGGGTACTATGGCAAACCATGCTAGATCAGCTGAGCAAACCTGCTCCAGCCAGCAGCCTAGTGCCAAGATGTTTGAAGGGCCATACAGTAGCTAGTTTTCCAGCTTGTTGATGAAGTTGTAAGGCACCAAAGGTACGAGACTGTTCTCAGAAATCAGCAGGCATCCGACTCTGACAGCTGGCAGTGTGTCTCGCTACATTTGGCCAAGGCGATGACAGAGCAGTGAGCTGTGATGTAGAACTCGGCACACTAATCACGGCGGAACAGATGTCATGAAAACGCATTTGTGCATTATTAGCTAGAGCTTCACTACACTAGTTAGCTAGCTACAGGGAGTATTCAGCATTGAGTGTGTTAACTGGTGTTGTTAGCATCCCTGCCTTTCGTTTCATACGGATTGATTTGAGACTGGTTCAGCCAGCACATTTCAAATTTCATGAATACTGATTCTACCATCACAAAACACCTTAGCTAGATGTAGAATTAGGTAGTGGAGACTTGTTCATGTTCAAAATTAGCTACAGGTTTATAGTTTTTAGTCAGATTAACTCTGACTCTTTGTCGGATGAACGGGGGTTCAGTGGAGTGTTTGTGAGTTATCAGACAGTTAAGTGCGCTATATGATGTGAGGCAATGCTAGTCATTATTTAGCATAGTAAAGAAATAGGACTATATTTTTCTGTCTTTATCTCAGACGTGTCCCCAAAGGTGATTCATTGGTGAGATTGGTCAGAAATTGGTCAGAAACGGACTTTGAATCATTGTCAGGGCTCTGATACATTTGCAATCATTTATGTATTTTGTGTCTTGCAGAGAAGTTGATTGATTGATCATTATTTATTTTTCACTCACACAGTTCCTTTTTGTCTAGCATCTGAGCCAGTGGAAAGTGTATACATTCAGTGTATGGATTAAAGTGTATAGACTGAGCAGATGGAGGTTGGAGGCTGGGGACCTACCGATACAGTTGACTCCGTTGCCAACCCAGCCGACTCGGCAGGAACAGCGGAAGTCCCCAGGGGTGTTGACACAGTTGGCGTTGACGTCACAGTTGTGGGCCCCGATCTGACACTCATCCATGTCTACACAGGAGGAGTGACATTCGGTAATTACAATACAGTACATCTCACAGTAGCCAGACATATTTACTTTCATGAATTTCAATACATCTGAAATTGTTCCTACTTTTAATGTTGATATACACTACCAGTCAAAAGTTTGGACATACCTACTCATTCAAGGTTTTTTTTTTTTTTTACTATTTTCTACATTGTAGAATAATAGTGAAGACATCAAAACTATTAAATAACACATATGGAATCATGTAGTAACCAAAAAAGTGTTAAACAAATCAAAATATATTTTATATTTTTGATTATTCAAAATAGCCACCCTTTGCCTTGATGACAGCTTTGCACACTCTTGACATTCTCTCAACCTGCTTCATGAGGAATGCTTTCCCAACAGTCTTGAAGGAGTTCCCGCATATGCTGAGCACTTGTTGGCTGCTTTTCCTTCACTCTGCGGTCCAACTCATCCCAAACCATCTCAATTGGGTTGAGGTCGGGTGATTGCGGAGGCCAGGTCATCTGATGCAGCACTCCATCACTCTCCTTCTTGGTAAAATAGACCTTACACAGCCTGGAGGTATGTTTTGGGTCATTGTCCTGTTGAAAAACAAATGATAGTCCCACTAAGCGCAAACCAGATGGGATGGCGTATCGCTGTAGAATGCTGTGGTAGCCATGCTGGTTAAGTGTGCCTTGAATTCTAAATAAATCACTGATCGCAAAGCACCCCCACAACATCACACCTCCTCCTCCATGCTTCACGGTGGGAACTGCACATGTGGAGATCATCCGTTCACCTACTCTGCGTCTCACAAAGACACCGCGGTTAGAAGCAAAAATCTCAAATTTGGACTCATCAGACCAAAGGACACATTTCCACCGGTCTAATGTCCATTGCTCGTGTTTCTTGGCCCAAGCAAGTCTCATCTTCTTATTGGTGTCCTTTAGTAGTAGTTTCTTTGCAGAAATTCGACCATGAAGGCCTGATTCACGCAGTCTCCTCTGAACAGTTGATGTTGAGATGTGTCTGTTACTTGAACTCTGTGAAGCATTTATTTGGGCTGCAATTTCTGAGGCTGGTAACTCTAATGAACGTATCCTCTGCAGCAGAGGTAACTCTGGGTCTTCCTTTCCTGTGGCGGTCCTCATGAGAGCCAGTTTCATCATAGCACTTGATGGTTTTTGCGACTGCACTTGAAGAAACGTTCAAAGTTCTTGAAATTTTCCGGATTGACTGACATTCATGTCTTAAAGTAATGATGGACTGTCGTTTCTCTTTTCTTATTTGAGCTGTTCTTGCCATAATATGGACTTGGTGTTTTACCAAATAGGGCTATCTTCTGTATACTCCCCCTACCTTGTCACAACACAACTAATTGACTCAAACACATTAAGAAGGAAAGAAATTCCACAAAATAACTTTTAACTAGGCTTCCTGTTAATTGAAATTCTTCTGTATACCAACCCTACCTTGTCACAAAGCATTATTGACACTGGAAAGCTGCTGTGTCTGAATAGAACTGCACTGTTAGTCACATGTTGTCAACATGTGGTCAACACTCCATCTGGAGAGCTCCTGGGTGTGCAAGCTTGGCATTTTCAACATAACAACCACATACTTTTGTAAAATGATTCCCTCATTCAATAAATCAGGGATCAAATGGATAAGGTAGGCTACTTCAAAGCTATTTATCTAACTAACTAGACATGTTAATACAGTATATGAGACTGAAATATTCATGTTCCGGGGGAGATCTATGCACAGCAAATTATTTGTCAATTAGGCTATTCTTAGAATATTTTTTACGTTGTCGCAATTACATGGCTACTATTTAGTCGAGGGAAATCCCAGCTTTCCCAACGGTGCAGATTTATTTAGGCTCTACAGTGCCTGGGGGAAAGGCAACAACTAAAAGAATGCTTAGTCAGCTATAGTTAACTAGCGAGATAACTGCTACAAGTTATATTTTGAATTGGTGATCTAGATAAGTCTGTCTGTCATAATTGTATACCTGCTGCTGAAATGTCGAGCTCTCTCTCCTCGGGCAAAGGCCCACTCACACTGGCACACATGCAGCACCACAGACATGCACTGAAGGGTTATTCCGATAATGGCTGATATGTCGTTTTTTTTTTTATTGACTAACCATATTTAAAAGTGTGCTTAAATGAATTACATTAACAACAATTATGAAACTAATTTCCATGCTTTTTCATGACCTTACAAACCCTAATTTGACAGCTTGGAACAGCGCATCATGGCTGGTGAATTTTCAATCTGGGCGATCTCGAATAGCCTCACTGTCACTAGCTGTCACTCACAGATTCACAGACTAACGGTAAATGAATTTGAGCAAAGCGGAATCAGGATGTGAATGCCCACTCTACATTGCTAATCAATGAAGATCCCGCCTTCATTTCGCTTTGATCAACCTTTTTTCACCTCGTTCTGTGAATCTGGGCCAGTGATAGGTTACTTTTTCAACTGATGTGTGTTTCGTGGAAACATTTAGGTCTGGCATTTGGACATGAGCTAGCTATCGTTAGCTAGCTTCTGTGTCGAGGTCAGCTGTTATTGTCTGGCTTTAGCTAGCTAGCTAGCTAGCTAATGGCTAAAGTTATTTGTGTAAAAACCTTCCATAAACAAATATCGCTAGCTACCTTTCTTTGCCTGTTCGTTAACTAGATACAGAGGCTAGCTGCTGGACTTTGGATGTTAGCTAAAGTTAGCTAGGTAACGTTAGGTAGCTAGCTACCTCCCTAACTAATCAAAATATCTGTTTGCATTTATTAATTGACCTCAGCTTGAATACCACCATATAGCTAGCTATCTGCAGTAGCTTAGGTTTGTTCTCAGCCACTTCTTATGACTGTCAGCTTGTTGCAGGCAGCAGCAGCTGTGTTGTTCCTGAGAAATCAAGTTGCTTGACCCGGTTAAGTAGAACTCTTGAGATTCGGCTGATAAGATGTTAGCATTGTCAGAAATGCTACAAAAAGGTAGCACATCGTTGGTTCTTAATAGACGGAAATGTGCATGCGAGAGATCGATAAATTATACAATTTAAGCCCAATGGTCACTTTATGGACGGTATAGTCTCATTTTAATCCGGTGTCTAGAATTTGAGCTAAGTAGGAGCAGGAAATACTCTGAAAACTCAATTTGACGACCCTGTTTTAAAATCCGGAATGTGGTTCTCGGTAACGGCCGGACGGCTCATGATGAGAGGCGGGGAGTGTGTTGTGTTCCTCCAATCAAGTTGATTTGCGAATGTTGTCATATTGGCTTAGATATGACAGTAGGGAGATTTGACTCTCTCTCGCACCTGTGCATCCAGAAGTTCCCTTCTTGACTGAGTAGCCAGGCTGACAGTGGCAGATGAAGGATCCCTTGGTGTTCTCGCACTCGCCGTGCATACAGATGTTGGAGTTCAGGTCACACTCGTTCACATCTGGAGAGGGAGGAGAGAGGGAGGAAGAGGAAAAGGAGGAGGAGGAGGAGGAGGAGGATGGAAAACTCGTCTCACATGGAGGAGAGGCTGAGACAGTGAACTCTAAGTAACTTATGTAAGGTTAAACCATGGTCACAGTGTGAGAACGATATGGACTATGTGAGAAAAAGCTCATGAGCATATAGAAGTGGTTTCAACATAATCCATCCAAATTGTTAGTATGTATATTTGTTAACTGATGAAGAAACATGTCGCTTAGACTCTAGAGTTATAGTTACAACATAGTTATTTACAACATAGTTATTTACAACATAGTTATTTACAACATAATTATTTCTAACATAGTTTTTAGATGTAAGCACCAATGTTCCCTTTTCCGGCACTGAGCAAATTTCAGGTCTAGTGAGCGGAAACTTGAACGCTGTGAGCATTCTGTGCAACTTTCGGCGCACATTTACTATGAACAGTTATAGTTTTAGACAGTGGCCAAGTAGGCTACCGTGGCTATTTGAGCATAATGTAGGCCTACCAGAGTGATTTCTATGACAAAGCCTACAGTAACATTTGTGTGGTGTTCAATGTAGGCCTACATTCTTGACATTAACCTTTTTAGCCACACAACTCAGAGGGCCATATGATCTGATATGTGTGTGTGTGTGTGTGTGTGTGTGAGTGTGCTCCCGTGTGCACGTGTGTGTATGAGTGTCACACGTGTGTGTGCGTGTGTGTGTGTGTGTGTGTGTGTGTGTGTGTGTGTGTGTGTGTGTGTGTGGATACCTATGCAGAGCCTCATGTCCAGGGCAGTCATAAAGCCGTCGTAGCACAGACAGTGGTACTCCCCTGGGATGTTAGTGCACTGTCCTCCATCACATATATCAGGCTCCTGCTCACACTCATCCACATCTGGAGAGATAGAGGGAGGGAGACGGAGGGGGAGGGAGAGAGAGAGGGAGGAGAGAGGGGGAGGGAGGGGGAGAGGGAGGGCGGGGGGGAGGGAGAGAGCGCGAGAGGGAGGGGGAAGCGGAAAGAGAGAGGGGGGGGGGAGCGAGAGGAGGGGGAGGGCGAGATAGAGGGAGGGAGGGAGAGAGCGAGAGAGGGAGAGGAGGGAGAGGAGGGGAGAGAGGGAGAGAGGGAGAGAGAGGGAGGGAGAGGGAGGGGGGAGAGGGAGGGAGAGGAGGGGAGGGAGGAGGGAGGGAGGGAGGATGGAGGGAGGGAGGGGGGAGGGAGGGAGGGGAGGGAGGGTCGTTGGTATGAGTCGGAGGGGGGGTCAAGTACATCTGCGTGTTGTGCGGGAGTGGATATTATAGTCGAGACTGCAGGAAAGTTGATTGATTGGTGGAGAAGAGTAAGACGAAACATTGAGAGAGGCAGAGGTGAGGGCAGGGAATAATAATGAAACAGAGAGATGAAGATGAAGAGAAGTGAGATTGAGAGAAGAGGCGATAGAGACACGCAAGGAGCGAGAGAGAGTAGGGAGGGTCGGACGCTTAGCGAGATTGAGAGCACGAGGAGCCAGAGACAGGAGAGGCGATGAGAGAGACGACGCGACGAGAGAGAGAGCAGAGAGAGAGAGAGGAGAGAGAAAGCGAGAGAGAGAGAGAGGAAGAGAGAGACAGCGAGGAGAATAGAGAGTGAGAACGAGAGCAAGACGAAGGGCAGAAGATCAGAGTAGACGTAGTAGAAGGTACTCAGTCAGACGATAATCATGAATGCGAATTAGAGAGTCACTAGCAGTCAGCCGTGAGCAACTGATGGTGTGAGTCATCTTCAGTCACACGACTCTGACTGTCTGCTGTCTGCTGTCTGTCCGTCTGACGTCTGTATACTGACTGTCTGTCCGCTGACTCGTCCGTCTGTCTGTATACTGTAGACTGCTGCCTGCCTGCCTGCCTGCCTGCCTGCTCACTGTCTGTGTGACTGCTGCCTGTAGCGACTGACTGGTTTATCTGTCTGCGACTGATTTTACTGTCTGCTGTCGTGCTGACTGCCTAAGTAAGAGTGAGGGCTGGACCTGTATACTCGTACGGTGGTTATAGTACAGGTGCTATACGTACTGTAGCAGTGTAGTAATAGTAGAGGGTTTACGTAACGTTACAGGTGGTTAACTGTATACTGTACGAGGTCCCCCGGGGGGGGGGGGGGGGGGGGGGGGGGGGGGGGGGGGGGGGGGGGGTTTTTTTTTTTAAAAAACCCCCCCCCCGGGGGGGGGGGGGGGGGGGGGGGGGGCCCCGGGGGGTCCCCCCCCCCCCCGGGGGGGCCCCCCCCCTTTTTTTGGGGGGCCCCCCCCCTTTCCCCCCCGGGGGGGGGTTTTGGGGGGGGGGGGGGGGGGCCCCCCCCAGGGGGGGCCCCCCGGGGGGGGTGGGGGGGGGGGGGGGGGGGCCCCCCCCAAAAGGGGGGGAAAAAGAAAGGGGGGCCCCCCCGGGGGGAAAAAAAAAAATTTAAAAAAAAAAGGGCACAAAAATCAGCCAGTGAGAAATGATAGAAGTGGGGTTCTTCATCCCTTCTTTCTTCGTTTTTGTCTGTCCTTTCAGTCTTTTAATTTTTTTTTCGTCTCCGTGTCCGTTGTCTGTATATCTGTAAGTGGCTCCCTGCCTGCTGCTTGCCTGTCTACTTTTTCCCTTTTCTGTCTTTACTGCCTTGAGACTGTTTTTCTGTGTTGATGACTGCGACTGTTTACTGTCTGCCTGTCCTCGCTGCCCTGATGCCTGAAGTAAGAGTGAGGGCTGCCCTGGATCCTATGGACTATATACCTTTACAGTACCAGAGTTAGGGTTTACATACAGTACAGGTGGCTATACTGTATACTGTGTACTGCAGGTGGTTATACTGTATACTGTGTACTGCAGGTGGTTATACTGTATACTGTGTACTGCAGGTGGTTATACTGTATACTGTGTAACTGTAGGTGGTTTATACTGTATACTGTACTGCAGGTGGCTATACTGTATACTGTGTACTTGCAGGTGGTTATACTGTATACTGTGTACTGCAGGTGGTTATACTGTATACTGTGTACTGCAGGTGGTTATACTGTATACTGTGTACTGCAGGTGGTTATACTGTATACTGTGTACTGCAGGTGGTTATACTGTATACTGTGTACTGCAGGTGGTTATACTGTACACTGTGTACTGCAGGTGGTTTACTTGTATACTGTGTACTGCAGGTGGTTATACTGTATACTGTGTACTGCAGGTGGTTATACTGTATACTGTGTACTGCAGGTGGCTATACTGTATACTGTGTACTGCAGGTGGTATCAATATTGCTTGTATAAAATATATAACAAAATAGGGTTGTGGAAGTGTTGGGATTGCATTATGCCCTTATTTTGTAATGTTGTGTTTAACAGTGGGGTCAGTTCCATTTTAACTTTATGAATGGAATTTGACAAATTAAGAACCAGGTATTACATACTGTAGAGAGTAACCAGGTATTACAGACTGTAGAGTAGTAACCAGGGATTACAGACTGTAGAGTAACAGGTATTACAACTGTAGAGAGTACCAGGTATTACAGACTGTAGTAGCTAACCAGGTATTACAGACTGTAGAGAGTAACCAGGTATACAGCTGTAGAGATACAGGTTTATTACACGACTGTATAAAGTAACCCGGTATACAGACTGTAGATGAGTAAACGGGATTGCAGACTGGAGTAGGAGTAACCAAGGTATACAGATGTAGAGAACAGTATTACATACTGTAAGTGGTAACCAGGTATTACAGACTGTAGAGAGTAACCGTATTACGGACTGTAGAGGAGTTAACCTAGTATACGATGTAGAGAGTAACCAGGTATTACAGACTGTAGAGATAACCAGTTGTACAGACTGTAGTGTTATTACCAGGTTTACAGACTGTAGAGAGTAACCGGTTTCAGACTGTAAGATAACAGTATCAGATGTAGAAGTTAACCAGGTATTACAGACTGTAGGGAAACAGTATACAGACTGTAAGAGTAACCAGGTTTAAACTGTAGAGATAACAGGTATACAAGTAGAGGTAACCATGTATACTGATGTACGCAGGTAACCAGGTTACAGACTGTAGAGAGTAACCAGGTATTACAGACTGTAGAGGTAACCAGGTGATTAGACTGTAGAGAATACCAGGTATTACAGGACTGGTAGAGAGTAACCAGGTTACTGACTGTAGAAAGTAACCAGGTATTACAGACTGTAGAGAGTAACCAGGTATTACAGACTGTAGAGAGTAAACAGTATTACAGACTGTTAGGTTCCGTGAGGTTACAGGATTGATAGAGAGTAACCAGGTTATTACAGATTGTAGAGAGTACAGGTATTATGACTGTATAGAGGTAACCAGGTTACATTACTGTAGAGTAGTAACCGGATTTACAGATGTAGAGATAACCATGTATTACATACTGTATAGAGTAAACCAGGTATACAACTGTAGAGAGTAACCAGGTATTACAGACTGTAGAGAGTAACCAGATATTACATACTGTAGAGAGTAACCAGGTATTACAGACTGTAGAGAGTAACCAGGTATTACAGACTGTAGAGAGTAACCAGGTATTACAGACTGTAGAGAGTAACCAGGTATTACAGACTGTAGAGAGTAACCAGGTATTACTGACTGTAGAGAGTAACCAGGTATTACATACTGTAGAGAGTAACCAGGTATTACAGACTGTAGAGAGTAACCATGTATTACAGACTGTATAGAGTAACCAGGTATTCATACTGTAAGAGAGTAACCAGGTATTACAGACTGTAGAGAGTAACCAGATATTACAACTGTAGAGAGTAACCAGGTATTACAGACTGTAGAGGAGTAACCAGGTATTACAGACTGTAGAGAGTAACCAGTATTACAGACTGTATAGAGTAACCAGGTATTACAGACTGTAGAGAAGTAACCAGGTATTACAGACTGTAGAGAGTAACCAGGTATTACAGACTGTAGAGAGTAACCAGGTATTACAGACTGTAGAGAGTAACCAGGTATTACGACTGTAGAGAGTAACCCAGGTATTACATACGTAGAGAGTAACAAGGTATTACAGACTGTAGAGAGTAACCAGGTATTACAGACTGTAGAGAGTAACCAGGTATTACAGACTGTAGATAGTAACCAGGTATTACAGACTGTAGAGAGTAACCAGGTATAGAGACTGTAGAGAGTAACCAGGTATTACAGACTGTAGAGAGTAACCAGGTATTACAGACTGTAGAGAGTAACCAGGTATTACAGACTGTAGAGAGTAACCAGGTATTACAGACTGTAGAGAGTAACCAGGTATTACAGACTGTAGAGAGTAACCAGGTATTACAGACTGTATAGAGTAACCAGGTATTACAGACTGTAGAGAGTAACCAGGTATTACAGACTGTAGAGAGTAACCAGGTATTACAGACTGTAGAGAGTAACCAGGTATTACAGACTGTAGAGAGTAACCAGGTATTACAGACTGTAGAGAGTAACCAAACCAGGTATTACAGACTGTAGAGAGTAACCAGGTATTACATACTGTAGAGAGTAACCAGGTATTACAGACTGTAGAGAGTAACCAGGTATTACAGACTGTAGAGAGTAACCAGGTATTACAGACTGTATAGAGTAACCAGGTATTACAGACTGTAGAGAGTAACCAGGTATTACAGACTGTATAGAGTAACCAGGTATTACAGACTGTATAGAGTAACCAGGTATATTACAGACTGTAGAGAGTAACCAGGTAATACAAGACTGTAGAGAGTAACCAGGTATTACAGACTGTAGAGAGTAACCAGGTATTACAGACTGTAGAGAGTAACCAGGTATTACAGACTGTAGAGAGTAACCAGGTATTACAGACTGTAGAAAGTAACCAGGTATTACAGACTGTAGAGAGTAACCAGGTATTACAGACTGTAGAGAGTAACCAGGTATTGCAGACTGTAGAGAGTAACCAGGTATTGCAGACTGTAGAGAGTAAACCAGGTATTACAGACTGTAGAGAGTAACCAGGTATTACAGACTGTAGAGAATAACCAGGTATTACAGACTGTAGATAGTAACCAGGTATTACAGACTGTAGAGAGTAACCAGGTATTACAGACTGTATAGAGTAACCAGGTATTACAGACTGTAGAGAGTAACCAGGTATTACAGACTGTAGAGAGTAACCAGGTATTACAGACTGTAGAGAGTAACCAGGTATTACAGACTGTAGAGAGTAACCAGGTATTACAGACTGTAGAGAGTAACCAGGTATTACAGACTGTATAGAGTAACCAGGTATTACAGACTGTAGAGAGTAACCAGGTATTACAGACTGTAGAGAGTAACCAGGTATTACAGACTGTAAGAGAGTAACCAGTATACAGACTGTAGAGAGTAACCAGGTAATTACAGACTGTAGAGAGTAACCAGGTATTACAGACTGTAAGAGGTAACCAGGTATTACAGACTGTAGAGAGTAACCAGGTTTACAGACTGTATAGAGTAACCAGGTATTACAGACTGTAGAGAGTAACCAGGTATTATACAGACTGTAGAGAGTAACCAGGTATTACAGACTGTATAGAGTAACCAGTATACAGACTGTAGAGAGTAACCAGGTATTTACAGACTGTAGAGAGTAACCAGTATTACAGACTGTATAGAGTAACCAGGTATTACAGACTGTAGAGAGTAACCAGGTATTACATACTGTAGAGAGTAACCAGGTATTACAGACTGTAGAGAGTAACCAGGTATTACAGACTGTAGAGAGTAACCAGGTATTACAGACTGTAGAGAGTAACCAGGTATACAGACTGTAGAGAGTAACCAGGTATTACAGACTGTATAGAGTAACCAGGTATTACAGACTGTAAGAGAGTAACCAGTATTACAGACTGTAGAGAGTAACCAGGTATTACAGACTGTAGAGAGTAACCAGGTATTACAGACTGTAGAGAGTAACCAGGTATTACAGACTGTATAGAGTAAACAGGTATACAGACTGTAGAGAGTAACCAGGTATTACAGACTGTATAGAGTAACCAGGTATTACAGACTGTAGAGAGTAACCAGGTATTACAGACTGTAGAGAGTAACCAGGTATTACAGACTGTAGAGAGTAACCAGGTATTACAGACTGTAGAGAGTAACCAGGTATTACAGACTGTAGAGAGTAACCAGGTATTCAGACTGTAGAGAGTAACCAGGTATTACAGACTGTAGGAGGTAACCAGGTATTACAGACTGTAGAGAGTAACCAGGTATTACAGACGTAGAGAGTAACCAGGTATTACAGACTGTATAGAGTAACCAGGTATTACAGACTGTAGAGAGTAACCAGGTATTACGACTGTAGAGAGTAACCAGGTATTACAGACTGTAGAGAGTAACCAGGTATTACAGACTGTATAGAGGTAACCAGGTTTACAGACTGTAGAGAGTAACCAGGTATTACAGACTGTAGAGAGTAACCAGGTATTACAGACTGTAGAGAGTAACCAGGTATTACAGACTGTAGAGAGTAACCAGTATTACAGACTGTAGAGAGTAACCAGGTATTACAGATGTATAGAGTTAACCAGGTATACAGACTTAGAGTAACCGGTATTACAGACGATAGCATGTAACCAGGTATTACACTGTATAGACGTTAACCAGGATTACAGACTGTAGAGAGTAACCAGGTAATACAGCACTGTAGAGGTAACCGGTATTACAGAATGAAAAACCAGTATACCGACTGTAGAGATACCGGATTACAGACGTAGAGTAACCAGGATTACAGACGTAGAAAAACAACCAAGGTATTACAGACTGTAGAGGTAAACGTATATACAGACTGTAGAGATAACCAGTATTGCAGACTGTAAACGTAACCAGTATAGACTGAAGAGTAACAAGGTATTACACACCGTAGAGAGGTACCAGTCATCAGACTTGTGAAAGTAACCAGGTATTACAGACTGTAGAGAGTAACAGATAACTGTAAGATAACAGTCTTACAACTGAGAGATAACCAGGAATTACAGACTGTAGAGAGTAACCAGGTATTACAGACTGTAAGAGAACCAGGTATTACACAGACTGTAAGGAGAAACAGGTTTACAGGATGTGCAATACAGGATACAGTGTAGGACAACTCAAGGTAAACAGCTGTTAGGAAAACAGGAATACAGGTAGAAAGTAAGGAATACAGGGTGTGAACAACAGCTTCCTCTCATCAGGTGCATAGCCATTGATTGCAGCTACAAAAAAACTCAGTTTTCACAGGTGGTCACAATGTAATCATCAATATCTGAAAAACACACACCCAATGGTACGCTCATCAATATCTGAAAAACACACAAACAGTTAAAAATAAAAACTAAGGAAACAGGTTAGGAACAACTAAGGAAACAGGTTAGGAACAACTAAGGAAACAGGTTAGGAACAACTAAGGATACAGGTTAGGAACAACTAAGGAAACAGGTTAGGAACAACTAAGGAAACAGGTTAGGAACAACTAAGGAAACAGGTTAGGAACAACTAAGGAAACAGGTGAAACATCGTATCTATCCTCTCACAGGTGTAATTGTTTATTGTATGTGAAGCAATACAAAAGAAAAAGTAATTTCCCATGGTGTAATGTAATAAATAGCAGTATGACATGTTAGCTAGCATGTTATCGAATGCAATAGCTCTAAGATTGATTCCTCAGAGTACAAAATAAAAATATAACTTTAGAACATATAGGCCTAACTAAATGGCATGTGGCATGACATCATATATAACATACGACTCAGTTCGATTACCATACCTACGCAGCTCTGTCTGTCAGGAGTTGCTTGGTAACCAGAGTCACAAGAGCAGTGGTAGGTACCGGCCACGTTCACACATTGGCCGTTCCGACACAGGCTGACGCTCTGCTCGCACTCGTTGTAATCTGTGTGAGATAACATTCATGAACACGTGCTAAATGACTAAAATGTAAATAAAGATATCGAAAAAATATGTAGTGTCGATTTAATCTGTATCAGAGAAACACCCCATAATGTATTAGAAGGGTTTAAATAATATTGTGTTAAGAAAGGGACCATTTGAGAAGATAGAGAGTGAGAGGTGGGAAAAATAACAGCTAGCGTAAAGGTCACAAAATAAAAAACAAGAAATCAGGTGATTAGCCGTGTGACCTAGCAATGCAATGACCTAGTTACACTGTACATAACCTATTCAGAAGGACTAGCGGTGTGGAACAAGATTTGATATGGTCTTAAAGGGGCAATCTGGGATTCAAACAACAACAAAGTGGTCACCCTGCCATTTTCGGGGGACAAACAACTGATGGATGGGGCTGAAGAAATGTAACAACTCATAAATGAATAGTCGGAGCTACGGACGCAAGGACCGACCATTCATGATATCAACATTATAGTTTTAACCATGAAGCTATACATTGTTTGTTTACAATTGCATTGTTTACAAACAATGGAGTAAAACACGTTTATATTTTGGGTTCTGATGGGAAACGACAGTTGAACTAAGCTCAGGGGGCATTAATACGTTATATTCTTCAAAAACCAATGGCTATATATCATTTAAGCCTAGCCACCACAGGATAAAATTACATTTTTGCATGTACTTATCAATTTTGAGATATTCTGGTATTTTGGTCGATTAATATTAGTATTTTCAAAAAGTACAAATAAGAACGTCAAAAAGTTGATGACAATTTATATTTTAGTTAGTTTGTCATACTACCGTCATTAAAATGTCATGAATTGTAACCACTTTTAAATGGACATACATGTACATCCATAATTTCAAAGCTCACTACACCATTTAAAAGCCCGTTTCATAGATAATGTTACAAACTGGAGTCTGGACTATATGTAGTAACATACTTTGAAGAGATGAGGATTGGGTCTAAGGTGTTTGGCATTTGGTAGTCTAAATTCAGTGTCCTTGTCTTTAACTGCCATTTCCCAAAAGTCACTCTTCCCAATCGCCAACAAATTTTTCTCAGCTTCAGAAGCATCTGTTTTTACCAAAACGTGTGCCATCCTTAGATGTATTCTCCACTTATACAGAGGGAATTGTTGATATTTTGTCAATTTCTTTTTCTAGATGACATTTTCTTCTGAAAAATTTGACAAAAATACATTTGACGTATCTTTCTTTAGTATTTTACAAATAGAAAGATTAAATAAGTATTTATCCACAATCGGCTATGTGTAAGTCCGGTCCTGGATTGTCTCAACAAAATGAAACCAAAATATTTAAGCTGACTTCATCCAGTGTCCAGAAAAGTGGATTTGTGTGATATGAAAAACCCTTGTAATGGAACATTTTATGTTTGTGCTTTTCTAATAACCAATTTCTGTGTTCTATGTTTGTGCTTTTCTAATAACCAATTTCTGTGTTCATGCAAGTGACTGATTGAACGAATCCTCACTATCAGTATCTGCAATTTGGCAGTACGCCCAAAACCTTGTTTTGAGAACGAAAGATATCTCAGTTTCAAGGTCTCAGCTTAGAGAGAAGAAGCCTTGTGAGGTATTGGTCTGTCATATGCATGACCCAGTATTGGTCGGTCACATGAATGAAGCAAATGTTAATTATGAATAAGCTAAATCATGCAAATATAACTTGTCTGCAGTATATAAGAGAACTAACAGAGAAGAATTGATTAACTTGTTCAATGCTAGTTAAGGATACTATAGGCCTAGTTATCACATTTCACGTTGGATTTATTAACTACAATAAGGTAAGACGGGTTTTTAATTCTGGTGCCGCTCTGCACACACCAGCTTGTTAGCTAGCTGGTTCAAAGGACGTTCAAAGTTCCTCCATAGAAGCCGCTCCTCCTAGGTATAATTCGGTGGACCTAATTCAGATAATGCATGTCATAACAAGATGCCCAGCACTTCAAGCCTCCTCCTCAACCCTCTCTCGCTCTCTCCCCGATCGAAAAATGTCAGTCGCATCTTGCGCCATAGGCTACACTTGTCTGTCCATCACGCATGTAAACAACTAGCTTGCCTGCTCTATCCGCACTGATTGGTGAAGTAATTGGATGCTAGCATGCTAGTTAGCTATGGTGTCATAGTTAGCTAGCTGAATAAAGTGGGTTGAGTCTACTCCTTTAAACATTGAACCGCTGTGGTTCACAACAATTCTGATTTCTAAAGGTGGAAGTTGGGAGAGTTTTTGTTCGGGTGGTTCAGTGAAACAATTATAGTTTCTGAGGTGGAAGTTTTGGTGAGGGAGGCCCTGCTCTCTCTTCTTCCAGATGTTTAGTTCATTTCATTCCGATCTCCTCTGCATTATTGTAGCCATTTGCTACAGCCTGTCAACTATGCCTCTGCCTATCCCTGTTCTCTCCTCTCTGCACAGGCTACACAAACGCCTCACACCGCGTGGCTGCTGCCTCTCTAACCTGGTGGTCCCTGCACGCACCCCACACCTGGAGTTCCAGGTCTCAGGCAGCCTCTGGAACTGCCGTTCTGCTGCCAACAAAGCTGACTTCATCCCAGCCTATGCTAACCTCCAGTCCCTCGACTTCCTGGCGCTGACGGAAACATGGATTACCACTGAAAACACTGCTACTCCTACTGCTCTCTCCTCGTCTGACCATGTGTTCTCGCATACCCCGAGAGCATCTGGTCAGAGGGGTGGTGGCACAGGAATCCTCATCTCTCCCAAGTGGACATTCTCAATTTTTCCCCTAACCCACCTGTCTATCTCCTCATTTGAATTCCATGCTGTCACAGTCACTAGCCCATTTAAGCTTAATATCCTTGTCATCTATCGCCCTCCAGGTTCCCTTGGAGAGTTCATCAATGAGCTTGACGCCTTGATAAGTTCCTTTCCTGAGGATGGCTCACCCCTCACAGTTTTGGGGGATTTCAACCTCCCTATGTCCACATTTGACTCATTTCTCTCTGCCTCCTTCTTTCCACTCCTCTCCTCTTTTGACCTCACCCTCTCACCGTCCCCCCCTACTCACAAGGCAGGCAATACGCTTGACCTTATCTTTACTAGATGCTGCTCTTCTACTAATCTCACTGCAACTCCCCTCCATGTCTCCGACCACTACTTTGTTTCCTTTTCTCTCTCGCTCTCCTCCAACACTACTCACTCTGCCCCTACACAGATGGTAATGCGCCGCCGCAACCTTCGCTCTCTCTCTCCCACTACTCTCTCCTCTTCCATCCTATCATCTCTTCCCTCTGCTCAATCCTTCTCCCTCCAATCTCCTGATTCTGCCTCCTCAACCCTCCTCTCCTCCCTTTCTGCATCCTTTGACTCTCTGTGTCCCCTATCCTCCCGGCCGGCTCGGTCCTCCCCTCCAGCTCCGTGGCTTGATGACTCATTGCGAGCTCACAGAACAGAGCTCCGGGCAGCGGAGCGGAAATGGAAGAAAACTAAACTCCCTGCCGACCTGGCATCTTTTCACTCCCTCCTCTCTACATTTTCTTCATCTGTTTCTGCTGCTAAGGCCACTTTCTACCACTCTAAATTCCAAGCATCTGCCTCTAACCCTAGGAAGCTCTTTGCCACATTTTCCTCCCTCCTGAATCCTCCCCCCCTCCCCCCCCCCCCCTCCTCTCTCTCTGTGGATGACTTCGTCAACCACTTTGAAAAGAAGGTTGACGACATCCGATCCTCGTTTGTTAAGTCTAATGACACTGCTGGTCCTACTCACACTGCCCTACCCTATGCTTTGACTTCTTTCTCCCCTCTCTCTCCAGATAAAATCCTGCGACTTGTGACTGCAGGCCGCCCAACAACCTGCCCGCTTGACCCCATCCCCTCCTCTCTTCTCCAGACCATCTCCGGTGACCTTCTCCCCTACCTCACCTCGCTGATCAACTCATCCTTGACCGCTGGCCATGTCCCTTCCGTCTTCAAGAGAGCGAGAGTTGCTCCCCTTCTCAAAAAACCAACACTCGATCCCACTGATGTCAACAACTACAGACCAGTATCCCTTCTTTCTTTTCTTTCCAAAACTATTGAGCGTGCCGTCTTTAGCCAACTCTCTTGCTATCTCTCTCAGAATGACCTTCTTGATCCAAACCAGTCAGGTTTCAGGACTGGTCATTCAACTGAGACTGCTCTTCTCTGTGTCACGGAGGCTCTCCGCACTGCTAAAGCTAACTCTCTCTCCTCTGCTCTTGTCCTTCTAGACCTGTCTGCTGCCTTTGATACTGTGAACCATCAGATCCTCCTCTCCACCCTCTCCGAGCTGGGCATCTCCGGCGCGGCTCACTCCTGGATTGCGTCCTACCTGACCGGTCGCTCCTACCAAGTGGCGTGGCGAGAAGCTGTCTCCGCACCACGTGCTCTCACCACTGGTGTCCCCCAGGGCTCAGTTCAAGGCCCTCTCCTTTTCTCCCTATACACCAAGTCACTTGGCTCTGTCATATCCTCACATGGCCTCTCCTATCATTGCTACGCTGACGATACACAACTAATCTTCTCCTTTCCCCCTTCTGATAACCAGGTGGCGAATCGCATCTCTGCATGTCTGGCAGACATATCAGTATGGATGACGGATCACCACCTCAAGCTGAACCCTGGCAAGACGGAGCTGCTCTTCCTCCCGGGGAAGGACTGCCCGTTCCATGATCTCGCCATCACGGTTGACAACTCCGTTGTGTCCTCCTCCCAGAGTGCGAAGAGCCTTGGCGTGACCCTGGACAACACCCTGTCGTTCTCCGCTAACATCAAGGCGGTGACCCGCTCCTGCAGGTTCATGCTCTACAACATTCGGAGAGTATGACCCTGCCTTACACAGGAAGCGGCACAGGTCCTAATCCAGGCACTTGTCATCTCCCGTCTGGATTATTGCAACTCGCTGTTGGCTGGCCTCCCTGCCTGTGCCATTAAACCCCTACAACTCATCCAGAACGCCGCAGCCCGACTGGTGTTCAACCTTCCCAAGTTCTCTCACGTCACCCCCCTCCTCCGCACACTCCACTGGCTTCCAGTTGAAGCTCGCATCCGTTACAAGACCATGGTGCTTGCCTATGGAGCAGTGAGGGGAACGGCACCTCTGTACCTTCGGGCTCTGATCAGTCCCTACACCCAAACGAGGGCATTGCGTTCATCCACCTCTGGCCTGCTGGCTCCCCTTCCTCTGCGGAAGCATAGTTCCCGCTCAGCCCAGTCAAAACTGTTCGCTGCTCTGGCACCCCAATGGTGGAACAAGCTCCCTCACGACGCCAGGACAGCGGAGTCACTCACCACCTTCCGGAGACATTTGAAACCCCACCTCTTTAAGGAATACCTGGGATAGGATAAAGTAATCCTTCTACCCCCCCCCCCCCCCCCCAAAAAAAAAAATTTGTAAAGTGGTTATCCCACTGGCTATAGGGTGAATGCACCAATTTGTGAGTCGCTCTGGATAAGAGCGTCTGCTAAATGACGTAAATGTGCCCTTGAGCAAGGCACTTAACCCTAATTGCTCCTGTAAGTCGCTCTGGATAAGAGCGTCTGCTAAATGACTAAAATGTAAATGTAAATGTAATTTAATGAGCAAAATGTAAAAAACAATTGATTTCACAGGTTAAAAAAGGAACTGGTACTTTTTTTGTGTTCGAACCGGTTCCAAACTTTATTTTGCTGGTCGGAACAGTGTAATGGAACGAAAAAAATAGTGGTTCAGTTCAGAACGAAACGATTGGAAAATAATTTTGGTTCCAACCCGAATATAACCCTACATGTCTAATGAGAAGAATCCTACATATCTAATGAGAAGAACCCTACATGTTGTTGAGAAGAACCCTACATGTTGTTGAGAAGAACCCTACATGTTGTTGAGAAGAACCCTACATGTTGTTGAGAAGAACCCTACATGTTGTTGAGAAGAACCCTACATGTTGTTGAGAAGAACCCTACATGTTGTTGAGAAGAACCCTACATGTTGTTGAGAAGAACCCTACATGTTGTTGAGAAGAACCCTACATGTTGTTGAGAAGAACCCTACATGTTGTTGAGAAGAACCCTACATGTTGTTGAGAAGAACCCTACATGTTGTTGAGAAGAACCCTACATGTTGTTGAGAAGAACCCTACATGTTGTTGAGAAGAACCCTACATGTTGTTGAGAAGAACCCTACATGTTGTTGAGAAGAACCCTACATGTTGTTGAGAAGAACCCTACATGTTGTTGAGAAGAACCCTACATGTTGTTGAGAAGAACCCTACATGTTGTTGAGAAGAACCCTACATGTTGTTGAGAAGAACCCTACATGTTATTGAGAAGAACCCTACATGTTGTTGAGAAGAACCCTACATGTTGTTGAGAAGAACCCTACATGTTGTTGAGTATTTTGTCATGATGTTTACGATGTAGACTGGGTTTTTGGCACATTAATGTAAAGTAATAAACATTAGTTAGAATGTTCAGTAACTGTTGTGTGTTCATTTGGTCTGTCTGTTTCATGCTTAGAATTTGTTACATGTTCAGTATTTGTTATGTGTACTGAGGCCTCACATTTACAGTGTGTTCAGTATTTGTTATGTGTACTGAGGCCTCACATTTACAGTGTGTTCAGTATTTGCTGCTTACTCACCCTCGCACACTGCCCCGTCCACGCTGAGCTGGTGTCCTGGGGGGCATGCACACTCGTAGCTGCCCTCTGTGTTCTCACAAGACCCCCCACGACACAGGGAGGGGTCGCGCTCACACTCGTCTATGTCTGAGAGAACACACACAACAGGGAATTCAGTATTAGTAACACACGGGATGACAGAGAAACTCCCTAACATGTCACCAACACTTGTCCTTTATAAAAAATAAAAATAAACATTGTCCAGTGGGCCTGTGTGGTCCGGTGGCTAGTGCCACCGACCCCGGCAACATATATGCCGGAGTTGCCATGGGTTCGACACCGGCCCACTGCCCTTTGACTCGATATCATTCCTATCTTCTCTCTGCGGTCCTACCTGTTCAATAAAACATGTTCTAGTTGTATTACACATGCCTAGAAGCAGTCCATGGACAAGGTAAGACATCATTCTATGGAATCAATTATACGAAACGGAGCACGGAGGTCACTTCTCGAATGCGTACTCAGTTTGTACATATTTTGAAGCATGCATCGATGCAAACTTAAACGGAAAGTATGCAAAGAAATATGACGCAAACATTTAAAAAATGCTACAAAATTTATTGAAATCAATAGCCCACAAATGGGACAAACACGAAATTGAGACTCTGCATGCAGAATTCTGCAAAAACATCCTCCGTGTACAACAAATAATGCAAGCAGAACAGAATTAGGCAGATACACGCTAATTATCAAAATCCAGAAAAAAAAGAGCCGTTAAATTCTACAACCACCTAAAAGGAAGCGATTCCCAAACCTTCCATAACAAAGCCATCACCTACAGAGATATGAACTTGGAGAAGAGTCCCCTAAGCAAGCTGGTCCTGGGGCTCTGTTCACAAACACAAACAGACCCCACAGAGCCCCAGGACAGCAACACAATTAGACCCAACCAAATCATAAGAAAACAAAAAGATAATTACTTGACACACTGGAAAGAATTTACCAAAAAACAGAACAAACTGGAATGCTATTTGGCCCTAAACAGAGAATACACAGTGGCAGAATACCTGACCACTGTGACTGACCCAAACTTAAGAAAAGCAGACTCAGTGAACATTGCTATTGAGAGAGGCCGCCGTAGGCAGACCTGGCTCTCAAGAGAAGAGAGGCTATGTGGTGGAAACAGAGCTGCACTTCCCAATCTCCTGCCAAATGTATGACCATATTAGAGACACATATTTCCCTCAGATTACACTGACCCACAAAGAATGTGAAAACAAATCCAATTTTGATAAACTCCCATATCTATTGGGTGAAATACCACAGTGTGCAATCACAGCAGCAATATTTGTGACCTGTTGCCACAAGAAAAGGGCAACCAGTGAAGAACAAACATCATTGTAAATACAACCCATATTTATGTTTATTTATTTTCCCTTTTGTACTTTAACTATTTGCACATCGTTATAACACTGTTTTTAGCCATAATATGATCATTTGAAATGTCTCTATTCATTTGAAACTTTTGTGAGTGTAATGTTTACTGTAAATGTTTTATTGTTTATTTCACCTTTGTTTATTATCTACTTCACTTGCTTTGGCAATGTAAACATATTTCCCATGCCAATAAAGCCCTTAAATTGAAATTGAGAGAGAGAGAGAGAGAGAGAGAGAGAGAGAGAGAGAGAGAGAGAGAGAGAGAGAGAGAGAGAGAGAGGGGGAGAGAGAAGGGAGAGAGAGAGGGGAGATACTGTAGAGAGAGAGAGAGAGGAGATACTGTAGAGAGAGGAAGAGAGAGAGAGATACTGTAGAGAGAGAGGAGATACTGTAGAGAGAAAGAAAGAGAGCGAGAGAGAGATACTGTAGAGAGAGAGAGAGAGGAGATACTGTAGAGAAAGAGAGAGAGAGAGAGAGATACTGTTAGAGAGAGAGAGAGAGAGAGAGAATATACTGTAGAGAGAGAAAGAGAGAGAGAGAAAGACCGAGAGAGAGATACTGTAGAGAGTGAGAGAGAGAAGAGAAGAGATACTGTAGAGTGAGGGAGAGAGAGAGAGAGACACTGTAGAGAGAGAGAGAGAGGAGATACTGTAGCGAGAGAGAGAGAGAGGAGAGAGAAGATACTGTAGAGAGAGAGAGAAAGAGAGAGAGAGAGAGAGAGAGAGAGATAGCGTAGAGTGAGGAAGAGAGAGAGGTTGGACTCACCCATGCAGTTCTTCATCATCATGAAGCCACTCTCATAGCCCTCGAAGCACTCACAATCAAAACTACCAGGAGTGTTGACACAGACCCCTTGGCCACACAGGTCCGGAGAGATACGACACTCATCGATGTCTGAACACACACAGAGGACAGCAGAACAGATGTTATTATATCTATTAAATTGATATTGATATTTGTAGTGCACTGTCGAGGGAGCTTGCTAGTAAGCATTTCACTGCATCATTTATACCTGCTGTAAACCATGTACACGACAAATAAACTTTGAACTTGCGAACAGATATTAGTTAATTTTGCTAAATAAATATTCTGATTCGATGACAAATGATACTGTTTCGATGAAGATTTTTTAACAGGTATTTTAAAAAGTTTTGATGTTTTGTTAGTGCTTCAGTTTGGTGGACTGTGTTAACTGTTTTGCAAAAATGATCCCTATTTTGAGAAAAGTGTTCAAGCAATCGGGACAAACTGTATTAACAGATCATTTCTACCCATAATAATGGGACATAATGTGGTCATAGTCTCACCTGTGCAGTTGCGCTCTTCCATATCGAGGGAAAACCCTCCGGCGCAGTGGCACCTGAAACTGCCTATGGTGTTGCGGCACTTGCCATGCACACACATGCTGGGGAACACCTTACACTCATTGATGTCTGTCAAAGAGAGACATGTCAACAAATGATCCGATTTCTATTATAACAAAGATACATATGAATCACTACCTAGTCCTACTTCCTATAACAGACGCATATTAATCACTACCTAGTCCTACTTCCTATAACAGATGCATATTAATCACTACCTAGCCCTACTTCCTATAACAGACGCATATTAATCACTACCTAGTCCTACTTCCTATAACAGATGCATATTAATCACTACCTAGTCCTACTTCCTATAACAGACGTATATTAATCACTACCTAGTCCTACTTCTTATAACAGACGCATATTAATCACTACCTAGTCCTACTTCCTATAACAGATGCATATTAATCACTACCTAGTCCTACTTCCTATAACAGATGCATATTAATCACTACCTAGTCCTACTTCCTATAACAGATGCATATTAATCACTACCTAGTCCTACTTCCTATAACAGATGCATATTAATCACTACCTAGTCCTACTTCCTATAACAGACGCATATTAATCACTACCTAGTCCTACTTCCTATAACAGATGCATATTAATCACTACCTAGTCCTACTTCCTATAACAGACGCATATTAATCACTACCTAGTCCTACTTCCTATAACAGATGCATATTAATCACTACCTAGTCCTACTTCCTATAACAGACGCATATTAATCACTACCTAGTCCTACTTCCTATAACAGACGCATATTAATCACTACCTAGTCCTACTTCCTATAACAGATGCATATTAATCACTACCTAGTCCTACTTCCTATAACAGATGCATATTAATCACTACCTAGTCCTACTTCCTATAACAGACGCATATTAATCACTTCCTAGTCCTACTTCCTATCCTTACTTCCTGTTATCTGTTTGCTAAATTATGTTATATTGAGGAGTGACACTAACTACTTGGATTTCTGAAAAACCTGGGAATTTTGGGAACCAACCAACCTTTTTGCAACCCTACTCCCTCACCTTTATAGAAGGGCCTTCCGGTGAGGACGTCTCCTCGGTTGGCGAAGCCTGGGCCTCTGGGGCAGAGGGCGTCATACTCGGAGGTGCCAGGCAGGGGGCACGCCTCGCACTCCTTCCCCCAGGCGGCGCCCATCGTGCAGCAACAGGCGTCCATGCGGAAACGCCCGGGCACGTGCTCGGCGCACGAGTCCTCTTCCCACGTCAGGTAGCAGTGCTCAGACCGCACGTCTGGCAGGTAGAGTAGTGTTTAAGTTTATAGTACATCCACATAACAGTCAATACATACGAACATGAAATCCACAGGATACTAACAAGATAACACTTTACATTAAGGAACCCTTTACATTAAGGAACCTTTTACATTAAGGAACCCTTTACATTAAGGAACCCTTTACATTAAGGTTCTGTTACAGGTTTGTTTTTTTCCATTTATGTTTTGAGGTTGGACTTTTAACACGTATAGCATTTTAGCACGTAGAGCGCACCGATTGGTGTCACCTCGTTAGTCAATATGTGTTCCACCTGTGCTGGTTTGCCGTCTCGCTAGTGGGAAGGTATTTCACCTGTGCTGCCCCAGGTGCTATTCAGGAGTGGCTGGCCCAGGTGCTATTCAGGAGTGGCTGGCCCAGGTGCTATTCAGGAGTGGCTGGCCCAGGTGCTATTCAGGAGTGGCTGGCCCAGGTGCTATTCAGGAGTGGCTGGCCCAGGTGCTATTCAGGAGTGGCTGGCCCAGGTGCTATTCAGGAGTGGCTGGCCCAGGTGCTATTCAGGAGTGGCTGGCCCAGTGCTCCAGTGGTCTTGAGAGATGTGGAGGGTCAACTCCTATTTGATTTATTGAAAAACATTTCTTTGTCTGATTTCGGTTTGCTCAACCTTTTTGGTTTAGGTACTTCCTGTCTTTAAGTTTGGTGTGGATTTTTCTTTTGTTTGACTCTTTTTGGGCAAATTTAGTGGCCGCTCATAGTGGGTGTCTTTTAGGACCCAGTTGTTGTTGCTAGCCAACGTTCAGTGGACACCCCCAAGAGTGTCTTTCAGAACCCCTCCTAAAACCCCACCTGTTTCGTTTTGGTTGTTGATCAGTGACTCTTTGTTAGTTCCCCCTTCCGTTTGAGCAACATTTTTGGTTTTCTTGCTGGGGAATGTAACCATACCCTTTACAATAAGGTAACACTTTATATTAAGGAATATGTTACATTAAAAGGTGCAGTATGCAGATATCGCTCCGCCACCCCCTGGTTGCTAAAATTCTAAAAGTTAGCCTAGTTTCCGTTGACGTGACAAAACAAGCAATGAATAGTGTAGAGCAGGGGTCTCCAACCCTGTTCCTGCAGAGCTACCCTCCTGTAGGTTAACTCCAACCCTGTTCCTGGAGAGCTACCCTCCTATAGGTTAACTCCAACCCTGTTCCTGGAGAGCTACCCTCCTGTAGGTTAACTCCAACCCTGTTCCTGGAGAGCTACCCTCCTATAGGTTAACTCCAACCCTGTTCCTGGAGAGCTACCCTCCTGTAGGTTAACTCCAACTCTGTTCCTGGAGAGCTACCCTCATGTAGGTTAACTCCAATCCTGTTCCTGGAGAGCTACCCTCCTGTAGGTTAACTCCAACCCTGTTCCTGGAGAGCTACCCTCCTGTAGGTTAACTCCAACCCTGTTCCTGGAGAGCAACTCTCCTGTAGGTTAACTCCAACCCTGCTCCTGGAGAGCTACCCTCCTATAGGTTTTTGCTCCAACCCCAGCTGTAACTAACCTGGTTCAGTTTATCAACCAGCTAATTATTAGAATCAGCTGTGCTAGATAAGGGTTGGAGTGAAACCCTAAAGGACCGTTGCACTCCAGGAACAGGGTTGGAGAGCCCTGGTAGAGAATCATTGTACCCTCTAAACCAGGGGTGTCAAACTCATTCCATGGAGGGCCTAGTGTCTGCTGGTTTTTGGTTTCTCCTTTCTGTTAAGAACTAGACAACCAGGTGAGGGGAGTTCCTTACTAATCAGTGACCTTAATTCATCAATCAAGTAAAAACCCGCAGACACTTGGCCCTCCGTGGAATGAGTTTGACACATGATCTAAACTGCTGTGAAATATATTTTCACTAACCACAAGTATTGTATTTTCAGCTGTTTGAAGCTGGTGTACAAAACCGAAAGTAAAAGACGCAAAAACAAAACTTAAGAACAGGAAGCATAGAAATAGCGCACATAGAACAGATCTACCGCTTCTTAGACCTGCTTTCAATGAGAATGACAGATCTATAACTCTCATTACTAGATGCATTTGGTTGGGTCGCTCATAAAGTTACATACTGCAGCTTTAAGGTAGCGTTCATATTTAGATAACGCTTTACATCAGTGGTCACCAACCGCTCGATTCCTCATCGATCTGCAAACATTTCTATGAAAAATCCAACGTAGTTTTTTTTTTTTGGGGGGGGGGGGGTTGCGCTCTTTTGCGGTAGGTGCACCTGATTCAGCTGCCCTGCGCGCCAGGTAATCGAAGTGTTCCCATTTTGAACAATTTCATGTGTCTGAAGGTACAAATTCAGCCTACCCAGCCAGGACACAAATCAAGTGCACCTATAGGCCTACCGTTGGCCAATCAGATATCTCAGATCACTGTGCAGTTTCCACGAGCCCACAGCGAAGTTGATACTGTGAGATTTCTAAACTTATAAAACCATGACTGGAGAGAGACTGTCAACGAATACAGCAAAGAGCTGCTGTTTTTACGAGTTTGTTTATGTTTTTATTCAGCACTGTCAACACTTTATTCCACACTTTTATAAAGCCATAAAACGAGCTTCTCCCTACTTCCACTCGCCCTACACACTGTATCGATAGGCTTGCGTTGTTATTATTAGTGGCTTGTGTCTTTTTTAATATCGAGGAATATTTCACGTTCTCTGGTCATAGGAGTAATAATATGAATTGGTGTATGAGGCAGAAATAATTAAAAGCAACTCGAGATTTGCCATCAGCGTCTACTTTCTGGTCACTCTTCCTCTACTAACACCATCAGTAAAATAAATTAAAAAACGAATTATTTAAACGTATGCAACTATAAAAGTATATGTTCTTGAGGAATTCCCATTGGATTATAGGAAATCATCATACAATATTGGGAATATTCAGAATATTTATGACTTGGAATACTTGGACAAATTTGGGACAATTTCTGAAGTTAGTTACTTGGGAACACAATTTTACTTGGAACACTATTTAAAAGTATACTGAACAAAAATATCAACGCAACATGTAAAGTGTTGGTCCCATGTTTCATTGAATATAAAAGATCCCAGAAATGTTCCATACGCACAAAAAGCTTATTTCCCTCAAATGTTAGTGAGAATTTCTCCTTTGCCAAGATAATCCATCCACCTGACAGGTGTGGCATATCAAGAAGCTGATTAAACAGCATGATCATTACACAGGTTCACCTTGTGCTGGGGACAATAAAAGGCCACTCAAATGTGCAGTTTTGTCACACAACACAATGCCACAGATGTCTCAAGTTTTGAGGGAGCGTGCAATTGGCATTATGACTGCAGGAATGTTCACCAGAGCAGTTGCCAGAGAATTGAATGTTAATTTCTCTACCATTCCAGTTCCCGCCAATATCCAGCAACTTCACACAGCCATTGAAGAGGAGTGGGACAACATTCCACAGGCCACAATCAACAGCCTGATCAACTCTATGTGAAGGAGATGTGTCACGCTGCATGAAGGCCAAATCAATACGAAGATCGAATGAGCGTGTACACGCTGGAATTAGAATGCACTGTAGTGAATGACAGAAAACAGATGGGCCGCGAGCTTCAAACGGCGTCAAAAGCGCCATGCGCTTCAAATTAGAAAGCAAGTCTTTTTTTCCTCGCATCTACACGTCCCTACCTTTATTTTAAGGTATCTGTGACCAGCATATGCATATCTGTATTCCCAGTCATTTGAAATCCATAGATCAGGGCCTAATGAATTCATTTCCATTGACTGCTTTCCTTATATGAACTGTAACTCAGTAAAATCTCTGAAATTGTTGCATGTTGTATTTATATTTTTGTTCAGTACAGTTAAATTGTCTATTTTCTTACAATACTTTATTTAAAGAAAACGGTCACTTCCCTGGAGTTTCTTTCACAGCACAAGCAACTTACTCAACAACCCTCCCCTACGGCTTCAACCAACAATTCTCAGTCATCTCCTTGGCCAAAGGTTTTCAGGACACCGATTTGACCTAGACCTGGCTAAAAAGAGAATTTCCATTGAAATAGCTTTTTAGTCCAGGACTACACTTAATCTGTGTCTTGGAAACTGGCCAAGAGAGTATTTCAACTAATTGGATCACTATGTCTGTTAGGGTTGCAAAACATTCCGGTAATTTCCTAAAATATTTTTTTTTCTCTCCGAAATCTCAGTTGAAGAGTTCCAGGTTGGAAGATTCCCTCACAGCTTATTCCAGAAATACTCCAACCAGGATTTCTGAAAAAATTGGGATATTTGGGAAAGTTTAGGGAATTTTGCAACCTTAGTGTTGTCCACTCACCCACACACACTCGGCCACTGGAGTCCAGTGTGAGACCATCAGGACACTGGCATTTGAAGGAGCCCTTGGTGTTTACACAGTGCCCGTTGGGACACACACCTGGGAAGACCACGCACTCGTTCACATCTACAGCAAGCAGAGAGGGACAAGAGGTGCAGAGGTGAAATCTTTATTTGTGTCATAATGCATTTGCTACCATTATAGTATACACTCTTAGAAAAAAGGGTTCCAAAAGGATTCTTTGGCTGTCCCCATAGGATAACCCTTTTTGGTTCCAGGTCGAACCCTTTTTGGTTCTAGGTCGAACCCTTTTTGGTTCTAGGTAGAACCCTCTGTGGAAAGGGTTTTACATGGAACCCAAAAGGGTTCTACCTGGAACCAAAAGAGTCCTTCAAAGGGTTTTATGGGGACACCCGAAGAACCCTTTTAAGTTCTAGATATAACTTTTTTCCTAAGATTGTTGCAATGGGCTCTATTTGATTCTATTCAATCAAAACCGTTACTGGGGAATTCTGGATGGGCAAAGAACGACATCTCCCTACACTATCAGATAGTGTCTGTCAATATGAAAACATTGTTCACATCCTAATACGTTTTTCCTATCCCAATAAGTCAACTAAGCATTTTCCTTTAAATAGTTTTTAAGCACTCAATGACTCTGTTTTACATTTGTGTCCGGATTTCTCTATTGAGGCTTATGGCAAATGTAGGTGATTTGTTTATTTTTGTATTTTATGAAAGTAGAGAGCGTCACACTGTAGTTGGAGGAAACATGGGAAAGTTATGCTGCTTTAAAAGTTGATAAACATGTTATCCCACTTGAGAGAAAAGTAGGAGAAAAATGCCCTTTGAAAGTAAATATATACAGTACCAGTCAAAAGTTTGAACAGGTCATAGGAGATAAGTTCTTAAGGTCATAGGAGATAAGGTCTTAAGATTATAGGAGTTCAAGTCTTAGGGTCATTTAGCATGTCACTAAAAGAAGCCATCATTTCTTATCTTCATTGACCCTGACCTTTCGATAAACTGTGGAATTGGGGTTATTGGAACACAAGAAAAGGGCATTTGTCATAGCAGAGCAGAAATAAATGTCTTCATTCTGGATGTATTCCGTATGTAGAATGGCTAGAATTGTTTTTACCATTTACAGGATCTGAGGCATTTGAAGCCAGTTCCTACTTCACAGAAGGACCTTTTAAACAAAACATTTTTTGTTGTTGTTACAGAACTGCCTTCTTGAACATGTGAACTTTCATGCGCCTTACTTAAAAACTTGAATGAATACAAATGTTAAATTACGAGCCTAGTTTAGCCAAGGAGAAAGCACTGAGCTATACAGGGAGAAAGAAAGGATCCTTCCTGGCTAGTCATGATTAGCTGAGATAATGGTGGGGCTGGACATGCCGATGAGTCCTGATTGGTAAACAAAGAAGAGCTCTGTAGGAAGTGTGAAATTCTCATCAAAATCTTTCAAAGGGGGCCTCTCAAGTGGCGCAGCGGTCTAAGGCACAGCATCGCAGTGCTTGAGGCATCACTACAGACCCGGGTTTGATCCCAGGCTGTGTCACAACCGGCCGTGACCGGGAGTCCCATAGGGCAGCGCACAATTGGCCCAGCGTTGTCAGGGTTAGGGGAGGGTTTGGCCGGGGGGGCTTTACTTGGCACATCACGCTCTAGCGACTCCTTGTGGCGGGCCTGGGTGCCTGCAGGCTGACTTCGGTCGTCAGTTGAACTGTGTTTCCTCCGACACATTGGTGCAGCTGGCTTCTAGGTTAAGGGGGCAGGTGTTAAGAAGTGTGGTTTTGGCGGGTCATGTTTCGGAGGATGCATGACTCGACCTTTGCCTCTCCCGAGCCCGTTGGGGAGTTGCAGCGATGAGACAAGATGGTAATTGATATCACGAAATTGGGGAGAAAAAGGGGGTAAAATACAAAGAAAATTATATATATATAGATAAGTTAATTAGAGTTACCAGCCTCAGAAATTTCAGCCCAAATAAATGCTTCACAGAGTTCAAGTAACAGACACATCTCAACATCAACTGTTCAGAGGAGACTGTGTGAATCAGGCCTTCATGGTTGAATTGCTGCAAAGAAACCGCTCCTAAAGGACACCAATAATAAGAAGAGACCTGCTTGGGCCAAGAACCACGAGCAATGGACATTAGACCGGTGGAGTCCAAATGGGAGATTTTTGGTTCCAACCGCAGTGTCTTTGTGAGACGCGGTGTGGGTGAATGGATGATCTCCGCATGTGTATTTCCCACCGTAAAGCATGGAGGAGGAGGTGCTATTGTGTGGGGGTGCTTTGCTGGTGACACTGTCTGTGATTTATGTAGAATTCAAGGCACACTTCACCAGCATGGCTACCACAGCATTCTACAGCGATACGCCATCTCATCTGGTTTGGGCTTAGTGGGACTATCATTTGTTTTTCAACAGGACAATGACCAAACACACCTCCAGGCTGTGTAAGGGCTATTTTACCAAGAAGGAGAGTGATGGAGTGCTGCATCAGATTACCTCCACAACCCCCTGACCTCAACACAATTGAGATGGTTTGGGATGAGTCCGACCGCAGAGTGAAGGACAAGCAGCCAACAAGTGCTCAGCATATGTGGGAACTCCTTCAAGACTGTTGGAAAAGCATTCCAGTTGAAGCTGGTTAAGAGTGTGCAAAGCTGTCATCAAGTCAAAGGGTGGCTATTTGAAGAATCTCAAATATAAAATATATTTTGATTTGTTTAACACTTTTTTGGTTACTACATGATTCCATATGTGTGATTTCATAGTTTTGATGTCGTCACTATTATTCTACAATGAAGAAAATAGTAAAAATAAAGAAAAACCCTTGAATGAGTAGGTGTGTTCAAACTTTTGACTGGTACTGTATATATGTGGTCCTCTGTAGCTCAGCTGGTAGAGCACGGTGCTTGTGACGCCAAGGTAGTGGGTTCGATCCCCGGGACCACCCATACACAATTATTATTTTTTTTAATAAAATGTATGCACGCATGACTGTAAGTCGCTTTGGATAACAGCGTCTGCTAAATGGCATATTATTATTATTATTATTATTATTTACAGTGGGGAAAAAAAGTATTTAGTCAGCCACCAATTGTGCAAGTTCTCCCACTTAAAAAGATGAGAGAGGCCTGTAATTTTCATCATAGGAACATGTCAACTATGACAGACAAATTGAGAATTTATTTTCCAGAAAATCACATTGTAGGATTTTTTATGAATTTATTAGCAAATTATGGTGGAAAATAAGTATTTGGTCACCTACAAACAAGCAAGATTTCTGGCTCTCACAGACCTGTAACTTCTTCTTTAAGAGGCTCCTCTGTCCTCCACTCGTTACCTGTATTAATGGCACCTGTTTGAACTTGTTTTCAGTATAAAAGACACCTGTCCACAACCTCAAACAGTCCCACTCCAAACTCCACTATGGCCAAGACCAAAGAGCTGTCAAAGGACACCAGAAACATAATTGTAGACCTGCACCAGGCTGGGAAGACTGAATCTGCAATAGGTAAGCAGCTTGGTTTGAAGAAATCAACTGTGGGAGCAATTATTAGGAAATGGAAGACATACAAGACCACTGACAATCTCCCTCGATCTGGGGCTCCACGCAAGATCTCACCCCGTGGGGTCAAAATGATCACAAGAACGGTGAGCAAAAATCCCAGAACCACACGGGGGGACCTAGTGAATGACCTGCAGAGAGCTGGGACCAAAGTAACAAAGCCTACCATCAGTAACACACTACGCCGCCAGGGACTCAAATCCTGCAGTGCGGGACGTGTCCCCCTGCTTAAGCCAGTACATGTCCAGGCCCGTCTAAAGTTTGCTAGAGTGCATTTGGATGATCCAGAAGAGGATTGGGAGAATGTCATATGGTCAGATGAAACCAAAATAGAACTTTTTGGTAAAAACTCAACTCGTCGTGTTTGGAGGACAAAGAATGCTGAGTTGCATCCAAAGAACACCATACCTACTGTGAAGCATGGGGGTGGAAACATCATGCTTTGGGGCTGTTTTTCTGCAAAGGGACCAGGACGACTGATCCGTGTAAAGGAAAGAATGAATGGGGCCATGTATCGTGAGATTTTGAGTGAAAACCTCCTTCCATCAGCAAGGGCATTGAAGATGAAACGTGGCTGGGTCTTTCAGCATGACAATGATCCCAAACACACCGCCCGGGCAACGAAGGAGTGGCTTCGTAAGAAGCATTTCAAGGTCCTGGAGTGGCCTAGCCAGTCTCCAGATCTCAACCCCATAGAAAATCTTTGGAGGGAGTTGAAAGTCTGTGTTGCCCAGCGACAGCCCCAAAACATCACTGCTCTAGAGGAGATCTGCATGGAGGAATGGGCCAAAATACCAGCAACAGTGTGTGAAAACCTTGTGAAGACTTACAGAAAACGTTTGACCTGTGTCATTGCCAACAAAGGGTATATAACAAAGTATTGAGAAACTTTTGTTATTGACCAAATACTTATTTTCCACCATAATTTGCAAATAAATTCATTAAAAATCCTACAATGTGATTTTCTGTTTTTTTCTTTCTCATTTTGTCTGTCACAGTTGACGTATACCTATGATGAAAATTACAGGCCTCTCTCATCTTTTTAAGTGGGAGAACTTGCACAATTGGTGGCTGACTAAATACTTTTTTTCCCCCACTGTATAGACAGCTGTGTGCCTTTCCAAATCATGTCCAATCAATTGAATTTACCACGGGTGGACTCCAATCAAGTTGTATAAACATCTAAAGGATGATCCATGGAAACAGGATGCACCTGAGCTCAATTTCGTTTCTCATAGCAAACCATCTGAATATTTACGTAAACAAGGTTTCTGTTTTTTATGTTTAATACACTTGCAAAAATTTCGAAAAACCTGTTTCTGCTTTGTCATTATGGGGTATTGTGTGTAGATTGATGAGGGGAAAAAACTATTTAATCCATTTTAGACTAAGGCTGTAACGTAACAAAATGTGGAAAAAGTCAAGGGGTCTGAATACTTTCTGAATGCACTGTATATATATATAATTTTAAATATTTTGTTCATATATTTTCCTTCTTTATTATTTTCCCCTAACCCTACCACCCCTCCCCTAATTGGAGTAAACTAATGGACACCAATACTTAGGCTTCTACTTCCAGCTTATACATACTATATACATTTTACGGACACAGTATATTTTACATTAGTTTTTAGTTTTTAGTCCCAGCCTTCAGCTACCCTAATCCCCTCCCATCTATCTCTGAAGACCGTGGGGAACCTTGCGACTTTTTCCGCCATTTGTCATGGGCAGAGACACCTAGCAAAGGTTATGGGTTTTGTAGATTGAAAAACTGCTGATGCTTGACATTGGACTTACCTCCACATTTGACTCCTCGCGGCCTAGCGTAGCCTCTGGAACAGATGGGATCTGCAAAAGAAGGTTGGAATGTCGTTGGGGATGGGAATGTTGGGAATCGTGGATTTGTTGCCAATGGTGACACTTTATGGGGACTCTTCCTCTGAGATAACATATTTCACAGTGGGAGCTAGTAAACACAGTCTGCATCCCAAATGGCAACCTATTCCCTGTGTAGTGCACTACTTTTGACCAGGGTGCATAAGGCTCTAGTACCTAAAACCCTACTGTTCCAGTCAAAACGACAATAAACAGAATTGGAATACCAGTAGGCCTAATACGGGGGGAGAGCAGACAGTGTAACACATGCAAGTGATTATATGAAGGTACAGCTCGGGATTAAGGAGAGGAACATTGCATATTTTGGCTTTTATATCTTATCTGACAGAATTATGAAGCTAAGTAAAGCACTGAGATTTACAAAGCGATACATTTCATGAAACAACATGAAACAACATGAAACAACCCACACGGCCCAAAGCAAGTCATGTGTGGTGTAACACAAGCAAAATATCATCATTGGGTAGGGCTTTTCTTACACTGATGAAAAACCACCCGATTAAAATAAAACTTTTGTGGCTTGGACTTTCATTATACCCACTGCTGGCAAATGCATTATGGATAGATTGTGTGGCCACAAAAAAAGAAAGAAAACAGACCTTGGTTGTGTCGCAAATGGCAACCTATTTCCTTTTTAGTGCAAATGGCAACCTATTTCCTTTTTAGTGCACTACTTTGACCAGGCCCCATAAGTTGTCATTTGGGACTCAACCTGTGAAACCTTAAACTGAAAGGTTGTTTCAACGAGGGAAATGACACGAGCAGAGAGTTGTGCTGGAACATTCACTGCACTGGGCAATGTGTCAGACCACATGAAGAAACATGGCTGATTTTTTGTAGTTCTATTTACTACTGTCGTCATGGGGAAACCATTCCATTAAAGATCTAAAAAGAACTACTAACCCCAGTGTACTTTAGACACAGAGTCAGGTCCAAGGCCATGTCACCCATAACAACATATTGAAATATTTAGCCCTTGGTACTACTGTGTTACATGTGTTACATGTGTTACAGTTCAGTAGTTTGCCTACTTCCAGTAAGACCTGGAGATACAGAAATCCCCAACACAAACCAGGTTGACCTTATCATTTGTTATTTTCCTCTGAACTGGCCGGAAACAATACCAGTGTTTATTAATTAATGAGGCAAATACCAGACCAAATGAACATGATAAAGTTACTGTTAAAACAGTTTTAAATGTAAAGTCCCCTGTTTAGGGGACCTGCGTGGTTCTTGTTCCGACCGACTGACAAATTAGCTTCTAAATTGATCTGTGGACATTGTAGATTGAAATGGCTTGCATTGAGCGGTAGCCCTGGTTCTCACGGACACAGGAGATCTGACACTGCTTGAAGCTTGGATGTCCCTCCTACCATTTAATTCGCTCTTCCAACTCCTGGCTGATACTTACAAAGCACTGGAATCCTTACATCGTAGCACAGCAGGAGAGAATGGTTTCATCACTTTAGCACATTCAGAGATCGATTTATAGCGAACTTTAGCAAAGTAATCTAAAATAATGAATAGATTTGAAACAAAAAACACTTTCTGTTTGTCATAGACGGACAAGATTAATATGAGACGAAAGGTGATTTTGTAACACGTTCAGGAAGCCAGGCTAGAGCTCTGTGACGTTCACAGCTCTGTCGTAGCCGGCCGCGACCGGGAGACCCATGGGGCGGCGCACAATTGGCCCAGCGTCTTCCAGGGTAGGGGAGGGAATGGCCGGCAGGGATGTAGCTCAGTTGGTAGAGCATGGCGTTTGCAACGCCAGGGTTGTGGGTTCGATTCCCACGGGGGGGGGCAAATAACGTATGCACTCACTAACTGTAAGTCACTCTGGATAAGAGCGTCTGCTAAATGACTAAAATGTAAAATGTTCACAGCGGTGGGGTCAGGCATTTTGATCAACAGATACAGTACCTTTAGAAAATATGCAAATTGTCTCTAACACTAAACATGCAAATATATATTTTACAGTTATAAGGAAGGAAGGTGAAATCTTATATTTAGTCGTTTCAGAATTTGATTATACTATATTTAGAAAGCATAAGTAATTTCATGCCTTATTCATACAGTTTTGTTGACTAGAAAATACATCATATAAAATATTTAATATTTCCATATTTGTATCATATTTGTCCTGTGTACTTGAGCTTGTGTCCTCAAAAGTGACTACACCTCAGCAATGTATAACTATTTTTACCAGAAAGGTGAGATTTTAACCTTTCTTTGGAGTATGCAGAATTACTAGTTATTGTTTATGGCCTCCTCATGATAAATAATTACTTTTGGGGATTACATAGATTACATTTTAGATTACATTAAGTTACATTTAACTGGTAAAAAATAAAATAAAAATTACTGCATCCATATTAGGAAGTCGGTATTGGTCAGACAAAACTCCCTCAGACAACTGACAACTTCCTAATATGGATGCCATACTACTTACAAAGGGGTTACCCATGAGCAGAGCTGAGAACCACTGGTCCAAATCATTGTCTACGGGGTAGCTGGAGGTATGTGTGTGACTTACCTATCTCACACTGCTCACAGGGACTTCCCCAGGCAGCGCCCAGGGTGGCACAGCACTCTGACTTGAGGGTTCCGCCGTTGATGTTGACCTCGCAGCGGCCATCTTGGATATTCAGCCAACAGGTCCCCTTTAGGCTGTCTATGATTAAAACACAATGCAAACTACAGTTTGTGCAGTCGTGGTCAAAAGTTTTGAGAACGACACAAATACTAATTTTCACAAAGTCTGCTGCCTCAGTTTTTATGATGGCAGTTTGCATATACTCCAGAATGTCATGAAGAGTGATCAGATGAATTGCAATTAATTGCAAAGTCCCTCTTTGCCATGAAAATGAACTTAATTTAAAAAAAACATTTCCACTGCATTTCAGCCCTGCCACAAAAGGACCAGCTGCCATCATGTCAGTGATTCTCTCGTTAACACAGGTGAGAGTGTTGACGAGGACAAGGCTGGAGATCACTCTGTCATGCTGATTGAGTTAGAATAACAGACTGGAAGCTTTAAAAGGAGGGTGGTGCTTGAAATCATTGTTCTTCCTCTGTTAACCATGGTTACCTGCAAGGAAACACGTGCCGTCATCATTGCTTTGCACAAAAAGGGCTTCACAGGCAAGGATATTGCTACTAGTAAGATTGCACCTAAATCAACCATTTATCGGATCATCAAGAACTTCAAGGAGAGAGGTTCAATTGTTGTGAAGAAGGCGTCAGGGCACCCAAGAAAGTCCAGCAAGCGCCAGGACCGTCTCCTAAAGTTGATTCAGCTGCGGGATCGGGGCACCACCAGTGCAGAGCTTGCTCAGGAATGGCAGCAGGCAGGTGTGAGTGCATCTGCACGCACAGTGAGGCGAAGACTTTTGGAGGATGGCCTGGTGTCAAGAAGGGCAGCAAAGAAGCCCCTTCTCTCCAGGAAAAACATCAGGGACAGACTGATATTCTACAAAAGGTACAGGGATTGGACTGCTGAGGACTGGGGTAAAGTCATTTTCTCTGATGAATCCCCTTTCCGATTGTCTGGGGCATCCGGAAAACACCTTGTCCGGAGAAGTCAAGGTGAGTGCTATCGTCAGTCCTGTGTCATGCCAACAGTAAAGCATCCTGAGACCATTCATGTTTGTGGTTGCTTCTCAGCCAAGGGAGTGGGCTCACTCACAATTTTGCCTAAGGACACAACCATGAATAAAGAATGGTACCAACACATCCTCCGAGAGCAACTTCTCCCAACCATCCAAGAACAGTTTGGTGAAGAACAATGCCTTTTCCAGCATGATGGAGCACCTTGCCATAAGGCAAAAGTGATAACTAAGTGGCTCGGGGAACAAAACATCTACATTTTGGGTCCATGGCCAGGAAACTCCCCAGACCTTAATCCCATTGAGAACTTGTGGTCGATCCTCAAGAGGCGGGTTGACAAACAAAAACCCACAAATTCTGACAAACTCCAAGCTTTGATTATGCAAGAATGGGCTGCCATCAGTCAGGATGTGGCCCAGAAGTTAATTGACAGCATGCCAGGGCGGATTGCAGAGGTCTTGAAAAAGAAGGGTCAACACTGCAAATATTGACTCTTTGCATAAACTTAATGTAATTGTCAATAAAAGCCTTTGACACTTATGGAATGCTTGTAATTATACTTCAGTATACCATAGTAACATCTGACAAAAATATCTCATAACACTGAAGCAGCGAACTTTGTGAAGACCAATACTTGTGTCATTCTCAAAACGTATGACCACAACTGTGGGTGGTGGTGGACTAGGGAGCCAGAGGTAAAATAAATAAGTGTTTTTGTTCAAATTGTACACATTGGCAGCTAACTGCTGAATTGCAGTCCACAGCTACATAACTTAACCTAAATAAAAACTAAATTGAAGTGTATATTTATACAGACATTTATAGGTGGCATGTAGGAGTGGCTAGATTGGACTTAACTGCATTTTACACTTCAGAAGTTGAATTGAACATTGCATTTCAGCTGTAAATGGCCTTTTTCAAAAACCATTCTCCATTCAATTTCTACATAGACAGGAAATATTCATTCAAAAGATCTGAAACAGGTTGATTTCTCTTCAATATCAATATCTTCAATATCAAAATACATTGATGGCAGTTTGATATACACCGAAAGACCATCTCATCTACTGTGTTGACAGTGGACGTGTTTAACTATACTTGTGAAGACCAGGAGTCCCCACAAGAATAGTAAACAAACAAAAATTTGACCAACTGGGGACATTGTGTTAGTCCCCACAAGGTCAAATGCTATTTCTAGGTGGTTTAGGGTTAATGTTAGAATTAGTGTTAGGGTTAGAATTAGGTTTAAGGTTAGGGTTAGGAGCTAGGGTTAGTTTTAGGGTTAGGGTTAGGAGCTAGGACTAGGTTTAGGGTTAGGGTTAGGTTTTTGGTTTAAGGAAAATAGGATTTTGAATGGGACTGAATTGTGTGTCCCCACAAAGTTAGTTATACAAGACTGTATGTGTGTGTGTGCGTGTGTGTGTGTGTGTTGGTGTCTGTGTCGTTGTCAGTGTATGTGTGGGTGTGTCGTCTCTGTGTGTGTGTGTGTGTGTGTGTGTGTGTGTGTGTGTGTGTGTGTGTGTGTGTGTGTGTGTGTGTGTGTGTGTGTGTGTGTGTGCGTGTGCGTGTGTATTTACCAATGCAGATGAGTCCTGTGGTGTCCAGCTTGCCCCCCGGGGAGCACTCGCAGGTGAACGAGCCGGCTGTGTTCCTACACTGTCCGTTAGCACAGGGGCTGTTTTCACACTCGTTCACATCTAGAAACAGGGGGGGAAGAGTTAGAGGGGAACACCTTTCATTTCATTTACAAGGAGGAAGAGTTAGAGGGGGACACATTTCACAACATTTACATGGGGGAAGAGTTAAAAGGTGACACCTTTTAACTTAACTACCTCTCAAAGCAGGGGGAATAGTTTGAGGGTGACACCTTTAAGTACATTTACAAGCAGGTTCTGATTGGGGATGTGTCCCAATAATCTAGATAGCTTTCTTTCTCCTTTCACTCCATCACCACTGATCTTAAAGGATTTGCTAGACATGCGCAGTATACCAGTTCTTGAAAGCCAGTAAGTCCTTTATTCAATGATCAGATATCATGATAAAAGATGACAAGAATGAGAAAATGGGACAAAGATTTTGGCAACTGATAGCTACAATCCTCTTTGTAACCTGATTACAATAGGGGGAAGATATAAAATGTGACACACTGCGAAGAGGGAAAGCCAGCCCAAAATATTGACTGCTTTTAAGTAGGGCTGGGAATTGCCAGGGACCTCCAGATACTTAGGTGCCGATACAATATATATATTGCGATTCTCACGATTCTATATGTTCCAAACATATTGCTGGTGCAGGGGGACAAGAGAGAGCCATGAGAAAACGAGTTTTGATCAGTCATGGAATTACAAGTGCTGAAAACAAATTGACTCCATATTTAAAAAGATGGGGAAAAAAAGCTATGAAGGAAATGTAACTGTATACATTTTCTCCCCCCATTACTACTTTTAAGGCAAGCCAATGGTAAAAATAAACCTCAACGGGAGAAACAGTTAAACCGATGATGATTAGCTACTCCACCAACTGGAAACCATTACACTCAATGAACACTCTCAATCAATATATGCCAACAGTAAAGATTGAGTACCAGTCAAAAGTTTGGACACATCTACTCATTCAAGGGGTTTTCTTTAAGAAGGAAAGAAATTCCACTAATTAACTTTTAAGAAGGCACACCTGTTAATTGAAATGCATTCCAGGTGACTACCTCATGAAGCTGGTTGAGAGAATGCCAAGAGTGTGCAAAGCTGTCATCAAGGCAAAGGGTGGCTACTTTGAAGAATCTCAAATATAAAATATATTTTGATTTGTTTAACACTTTTCTGGGTTACTACATGATTCCATATGTGTTATTTCATACGTTTGATGTCTTCACTATTATTCTATAATGTAAAAAATAGTAAAAATAAAGAAAACCCCCTTGAATGAGTAGGTGTGTCCAAACTTTTGACTGGTACTGTACATATTTTTTCCTTCGGTCCAGGGATTCACATAAAGGCATGAATAAGAATAAGGAATGGTCAGTCAACGCTCCCAGCCAGTAGTTCATCATGGTAATCACTTACATACATCGTATTTGTACAATTCATTTGTTTTCCACTTCCATCTGCTTGGAGGAACAGTTAACAAATTGATTATTGTATTGCCACGGTGCTGATGAGGATTGAATGAACTTGCAAATGCACAGCAGCAAGATTGAGCAGTGTCGAGTGGAATTCCTTCTGCTGTGTATAGCGGCAGTCCTGGGTTCAAAAAGTATTTAGTATTTATTATAATAGTATTTATCAAGCTTGTCTGGTGCAATGGAGCCAATGGAATCGTCCCAAAAAGTGCAAGCCCCGCCCACCTGGCACTCAAGGCTCTAAGTCTGGCAAACACTCAAAGCTGAAAGATTTCAAATACTACTTAAACCCAAGTCTGATGGAGTGCGCGCTTGCTTCATCTAACTTGCTGTGCATGTGCCTTCCAAATGTGTGAATTTATAGCCTGGCTTGATGACATCAGAGCTTGCAAATACCCACTGTTGCCTAACACACACAGGCTTGGACCACTTAAGTCATTGCTACCAGGGAAAGCGAATAAATTACGGCAAAAAACATGCTGTTGTGATTTCGACATGTTTTACAGAAAGGGAGAGGGCAAAGGAGGTGAGGTATGAATCATAACTTTGGTTGGGTGACAGTGTAGTGATGGTGTAGTGGCGGTGTCGTGACGGTGTCGTGACGGTGTCGTGACGGTGTAGTGACGGTGTCGTGACGGTGTAGTGGCGGTGTCGTGACGGTGTCGTGACGGTGTCGTGACGGTGTAGTGACGGTGACGTGACGGTGTCGTGACGGTGTAGTGGCGTAAGTCATGCTTGGCTATGTCTCCAGAGGACTCCAGAGGAATAACACCATTCCCTGTGAGTGAGATGTTTCCAACTCTAAGGGTGCATCTTAAATGGATCCCTACTCGCTTTATAGTGCACTACTAGGGAATAGGGTGCAATTTGAAAGGTAGTTCAACTGTCACTAACACGTGGAAGCGTGTCATTCACGTTAATTCAGCTCAGGAATGGCTCGCATGGAATGTGAATTTGGGAGCTGATGGTAATTATCCAAAGTGATGTGGAATGGCTATGGAAGACTCAGTGGAAGAAGCATGTGGGGATGTAAACCGGATGGGAATAGAAATATGCACAAGCCTTAAAGCTTCACTCTCTGCTGTGACTGGACTACGCTCCCCTCCCAAAGCGTTCACAAGGAACAGATGTCATTATAAAAGTGTGTGTGTGTGTGTGTGTGTGTGTGGAAGATGAATGCACTAACTGTAAGTTGCTCTGGATAAGAGTGTCTGCTAAATGATTAAAATGTAAAATGTAAAAGAATGTGCGTTTTCGTGCGTCCACACGCTGTCCCCAGCCGTCCAAACATCCTGTTGTGTGTGTTACTTTCCGCTGTGTTGACCGTCAAGGGGGATGACGTCAACAGTCTGAAGGGTCCAGTCCTCACAGTCTCTCAATGCCCAAACCAGGAGGCCCAGCCTCTTAATTTACTACCCTATAAACCAGTAGCTTTAAATAGGCCACAGAGCGATGGATTGCATCCCAAATGGCACCCTATTCCCTTACATAATGCCCTACCTTTGACCAGGGCCCATAGGGCTCTAATCAAAATTAGTGCACTATATAGGGAATAGGGTGCTATTTGGGATGCAATATCGCTTTCCCCCGGTTGCTTCCGCTACGACCCAGAGAGCTCGAAATGCTGCAAGCAATAAAAGGCGGTCTACTAGTGAATCTGGAGTGAATCTGGAGTGAAAATGGAGTCTAGGTTGGGGCGAATGTTCTAGGAATTACGTTTCAAGAATGTCAATGTGCATTAGCATAGAATAGAGCAGTAAGAGAGATGCAACCAAGATGTACAGTGGGGAAAAAAAGTATTTAGTCAGCCACCAATTGTGCAAGTTCTCCCACTTAAAAAGATGAGAGAGGCCTGTAATATTCATCATAGGTACACGTCAACTATGACAGACAAAATGAGAAAATAAAATCCAGAAAATCACATTGTAGGATTTTTTATGATTTTATTTGCAAATGATGGTGGAAAATAAGTATTTGGTCAATAACAAAAGTTTCTCAATACTTTGTTATATACCCTTTGTTGGCAATGACACAGGTCAAACGTTTTCTGTAAGTCTTCACAAGGTTTTCACACACTGTTGCTGGTATTTTGGCCCATTCCTCCATGCAGATGGTAGGCTTTGTTACTTTGGTCCCAGCTCTCTGCAGGTCATTCACTAGGTCCCCCCGTGTGGTTCTGGGATTTTTGCTCACCGTTCTTGTGATCATTTTGACCCCACGGGGTGAGATCTTGCGTGGAGCCCCAGATCGAGGGAGATTATCAGTGGTCTTGTATGTCTTCCATTTCCTAATAATTGCTCCCACAGTTGATTTCTTCAAACCAAGCTGCTTACCTATTGCAGATTCAGTCTTCCCAGCCTGGTGCAGGTCTACAATTTTGTTTCTGGTGTCCTTTGACAGCTCTTTGGTCTTGGCCATAGTGGAGTTTGGAGTGTGACTGTTTGAGGTTGTGGACAGATGGAAGTTCAACATGTAGCTAGATGTAGTAGGCTAATGTTAACTAGCTGGCGTATCGTTTCCCATGAAAGGAAGTTAGGCTAGCGAGCAAGTATTTTAGCCAGGTAGCCTAGGACAACAAAAACTAAAAGCGTGTACAGTGTGACAGAGTCATAGACCATTTAGGCAACATGAAAGAGGAGGGTGGCATTGGCGTTTCTCAACAAGTAGGGTGAGTCAACATGTTTTTTTCTACTTGCAAGCACACACACACACACAGAAATCAGTCCCATGGACAGCTACATCATATTTACAGTGGGGAAAAAAAGTATTTAGTCAGCCACCAATTGTGCAAGTTCTCCCACTTAAAAAGATGAGAGAGGCCTGTAATTTTCATCATAGGTACACGTCAACTATGACAGACAAAATGAGAATTTTTTTTTCCAGAAAATCAGATTGTAGGATTTTTAATGAATTTATTTGCAAATTATGGTGGAAAATAAGTATTTGGTCAATAACAAAAGTTTCTCAATACTTTGTTATATACCCTTTGTTGGCAATGACACAGGTCAAATGTTTTCTGTAAGTCTTCACAAGGTTTTCACACACTGTTGCTGGTATTTTGGCCCATTCCTCCACGCAGATCTCCTCTAGAGCAGTGATGTTTTGGGGCTGTCGCTGGGCAACACAGACGTTCAACTCCCTCCAAAGATTTTCTATGGGGTTGAGATCTGGAGACTGGCTAGGCCACTCCAGGACCTTGGGCGGTGTGTTTGGGATCATTGTCATGCTGAAAGACCCAGCCACGTTTCATCTTCAATGCCCATGCTGATGGAAGGAGGTTTTCACTCAAAATCTCACGATACATGGCCCCATTCATTCTTTCCTTTACACGGATCAGTCGCGTCCTGGTCCCTTTGCAGAAAAACAGCCCCAAAGCATGATGTTTCCACCCCCATGCTTCACAGTAGGTATGGTGTTCTTTGGATGCAACTCAGCATTCTTTGTCCTCCAAACACGACGAGTTGAGTTTTTACCAAAAAGTTATATTTTGGTTTCATCTGACCATATGACATTCTCCCAATCCTCTTCTGGATCATCCAAATGCACTCTAGCAAACTTCAGACGGGCCTGGACATGTACTGGCTTAAGCAGGGGGACACGTCTGCCACTGCAGGATTTGAGTCCCTGGCGGCGTAGTGTGTTACTGATGGTAGGCTTTGTTACTTTGGTCCCAGCTCTCTGCAGGTCATTCACTAGGTCCCCCCGTGTGGTTCTGGGATTTTTGCTCACCGTTCTTGTGATCATTTTGACCCCACAGGGTGAGATCTTGCGTGGAGCCCCAGATCGAGGGAGATTATCAGTGATCTTGTATGTCTTCCATTTCCTAATAATTGCTCCCACAGTTGATTTCTTCAAACCAAGCTGCTTACCTATTGCAGATTCAGTCTTCCCAGCCTGGTGCAGGTCTACAATTTTGTTTCTGGTGTCCTTTGACAGCTCTTTGGTCTTGGCCATAGTGGAGTTTGGATTGTGACTGTTTGAGGTTGTGGACAGGTGTATTTTATACTGATAACAAGTTCAAACAGGTGCCATTACTACAGGTAATGAGTGGAGGACAGAGGAGCCTCTTAAAGAAGAAGTTACAGGTCTGTGAGAGCCAGAAATCTTGCTTGTTTGTAGGTGACCAAATACTTATTTTCCACCATAATTTGCAAATAAATTCATTAAAAATCCTACAATGTGATTTTCAGGAGAAAACAATTCTCAATTTGTCTGTCATAGTTGACGTGTACCTATGATGAAAATTACAGGCCTCTCTCATCTTTTTAAGTGGGAGAACTTGCACAATTGGTGGCTGACTAAATACTTTTTTTCCCCACTGTAGCTTACGTTGATTGGACTAAATCGTTTTTGGTATCTTAGTTGTCACTGTATAAGACTAGGCATACGTGATTTGATGCTGTAATAGGAGCTCCTATTTTCTTTGCGACTTGCAGTAACACTCCATGGTTCTAAATCAATCGTTTTTTTAGTAGTCCAAGAATGTCGGAAACATTAGCTTGCTTGACCATGCTGTAGGTCATGTAACTGTTATATGCAATATGTTTTGTGGACTTCACTGGACAGATGTTGCTCTCCAGTTTTGTAATGAAACAAATGGGGTTTGTATCATTTGATTTACACAACATGCCTACCACATTGAAGATACAAAATATGTTTTATTGTGAAACAAAAAAGAAATAAGACCAAAAAAAAACAGATAACTTGAGCGTGCAGAACTATTCACCCCCCCCAAAGTCAATACTTTGTAGAGACACCTTTTACAGCAATTACAGCTGCAAGTCTCTTGGGGTATGTCTCTTTAAGCTTGGCACATCTAGCCACTGGGATTTTTGCCCATTCTTCAAGGCAAAACTGCTCCAGCTCCTTCAAGTTGGATGGGTTCCGCTGGTGTACAGCAATCTTTAAGTCATTCCACAGATTCTCAATTGGATTGAGGTATGAGCTTTGACTAGGCCATTCCAAGACATTTAAATGTTTCCCCTTAAACCACTCGAGTGTTGCTTTAGCAGTATGCTTAGGGTCATTGTCCTGCTGGAAGGTGAACCTCCGTCCCAGTCTCAAATCTCTGGAAGACTGAAACAGGATTCCCTCAAGAATTTCCCTGTATTTAGCACCATCCATCATTCCTTCAATTCTGACCAGTTTCCCAGTCCCTGCCAATGGAAAACATCCCCACAGCATGATGCTGCCACCACCATGCTTCACTGTGGGGATGGTATTCTTGGGGTGATGAGAGGTGTTGGGTTTGCGCCAGACATAGCGTTTTCCTTGATGGCCAAAAAGCTCAATTTTAGTCTCATCTAACCAGAGTACCTTCTTCCATATGTTTGGGGAGTCTCCCACATGCCTTTTGGCCCTACACCAAACGTGTTTGCTTATTTTTTCTTTAAGCAATTGCTTTTTTCTGGCCACTCTTCTGTAAAGCCCAGCTTTGTGGAGTGTACGGCTTAAAGTGGTCCTATGGCCAGATACTCCAATCTCCGCTGTGGAGCTTTGCAGCTCATTCAGGGTTATCTTTGGTCTCTTTGTTGCCTCTCTGATTAATGCCCTCCTTGCCTGGTCCGTGAGTTTTGGTGGGCGTCCCTCTCTTGGCAGGTTTGTTGTGGTGCCATATTCTTTCCATTTTTTTATAATGGATTTAATGGTGCTCCGTGGGATCTTCAAAGTTTCGGATATTTTTGTATAACCCAACCCTGATCTGTACTTCTCCACAACTTTGTCCCTGACCTG